ATATATATATATATAGTATAAGAGTAAATTTTACTTGTATTTTTATTTTATTGTTAAAGGTCATTTCATTCTGACAAATATTTAGGTTACATGGTTTTCCTAAATAAGTAGGATTAGGAAATAGCATCCTTATGTATAAATTCCGAAACTGCCTTTTGCAAACATGTTTTTTCCCTAAGCTCTTCGATTGCGATCAGTTACTTATTTATCACCAAATATGGTTACTAAAGTTTCTTCGCTTTATTCCTTCATTTAAAAACTTATTTTACTATTCTCACCATCACTACCGACATCTGATACGATAGCCTCATTTTAAGTAGAGTTCGTAAGGTTCTTAAGAAGTTAAAGAAAAAAAAGTACAAGAAAAAGAGTTTCAAATCGTTGAAAAAATTCGTCAGAAGTTGGAGTCAATTTTACTTAGAGTTTATCATTGTATTTTGCAGTTGTAGATTATTTAGAGATTCGCTAATTTTGCTAGTTTTAATTGTTGAATTATAGAAAATAATTAACTATTTCCAGCATTTATGCAAACAAATTATGTCAGTGGTATATTTTTTTAATTTCTGAAATTACTAGAAGATGGTCACAGAAATTATAGATAAAAAGATAGCTTAGCAACAATATTTAAAAATTAATGCGGTAGGTAGGTACTATTCATCCCACCACTTTATATAAGGTAAAAATGTTTAATAAAAGAAATTATCTGAAGCTTAATGCATATGTGGTAGATAACTCTTTTAAGTTTTACTGAGTTAAATTAATAATTTAACTTTTTGATCAATAAGTCAGTGATATTCTTTGGTTAAATAATCTGTGGCTTAATTAATAGAAAACTATAAATAGAATCAAAATGTTTGAATTCCTTCCTATAGGATTTAAGTGGATACGTTTTAAGCATTTCGAACGTTGCAAATATTGTAAAGCATAAATTAGCTGAATGCCATAAAACTTCTCATTTCTAAATGTAAAAATTATATAAAACAAATAAATATTTCGTAAATATATATTTTGATTATTTAATATAAATAATTTATTCAGTGTAGTGTGGCAAACTTTTATGTATTCTTTCCTATCAGTTCTTTTATTTCAGTTGCTTTGTAACAGTCTCTTTCTACAAAAACTAATCAATTTTATCATCGAATTTTAAATTGAGGTAGGGGGGAGAGTATTTAGAGGATAAACTAACTCAGAAATTGTGATAAATTATTTTTTTATTATTCGCCGAAGTATTGTTAGAGCTTTGCTCTTTGAAAAAATGAATTCAAATTTTTAAAAATGTTAATTTCTTGAGCTATGTTGATGTATGTTAACTGTAAAAAATATAAAAAATGCCAAAATTTTGACTCAAACAAAAACATATTACAGCGGATCATAGAGTTTAAATGGCAAGGTTAGAGAATTAGAAAAAAAAGTTAAACGATAATAATTCATAATGATTTAGTTTTTGGCTGCTTACTAGTGTCTGATTTCGTAACTTAATTAATAGTTAGCATTATTAAATAGCATATTTGAGGTCACCCCCAAGAACCATTAAGATTGACACTTAGTTCGTGAAAATCCGATCATTAGAACGAAAGTTGTTCAGGGGGATATCTTTCTTTTTTGCTGACTATACATTAATATAAAATCTATATTATTAAATTTGCGCGAGTTTTTTTAATNTCGCCGAAGTATTGTTAGAGATTTGCTCTTTGAAAAAATAAATTCAAATTTTTAAAAATGTTAATTTCTTGAGCTATGTTGATGTATGTTAACTGTAAAAAATATAAAAAATGCCAAAATTTTGACTCAAACAAAAACATATTACAGCGGATCATAGAGTTTAAATGGCAAGGTTAGAGAATTAGAAAAAAAAGTTAAACGATAATAATTCATAATGATTTAGTTTTTGGCTGCTTACTAGTGTCTGATTTCGTAACTTAATTAATAGGTAGCACTAATTAATTAGCATATTTGAGGTCACCATTAAGATTGACACTTAGTTCGTGAAAACCCGATCATTAGAACGAAACTTTATTCAGGGTGATATCCTTTTTTTTTGCTGACTGTACATTAATATAAAATCTATATTATTAAATCTTAATTACACTTTTATTGTTTTTACGAGACTTAACGTTACTGTATCAATTGGTTAAATTAGACCATATATAATATAAATTTGACGATAGGATAAACTAGACGATATATTTTAAAAATATAGAATACTTATTATATCGAGTATTATATTAGTATATTATAATAATTAGATCAAATTATTAGACGCGCTGCAGTTTTTTTAATAATGACATGATTTGCGCGAGTTTATACGCGTTACTTTTATATTTAAACATACATGTAATGGGTTTTTATTCGGGAGATTTTTTATATACTTCCTATTTGTATTTATTTTGAATGTATTGCATTACAATGTTGTTGTTGTTGACGTATGCCTGTTTAGGCAGAGGAGGTGCGATTGTTCTTGTTTTCCAGTGGCGCCATCTATGGTTAAGAATTCGACTTCTGCCACGCCGTACGTCACACCCGTTTATAGGGCGGATCCATTCATAATTGCATTACAATATTAAGAAATTGATACATGAGCGTAAACAAATGCATCCGAGTAAAAATAATACAGCTGATAGTTATAATTTTACATAGAATCTTATTAGTACGTCTAATTACATGGCCAGGGAATGTATATAAGCGCATAGATATATAAAAAATGATCTAAATTTATACTACGAAACATCACAAGCACGTTTCAACCACATAAACATCCCATCACAATGCATCGCTTTTATCAAACAGAAAGCTTATCATTTAAATCAAATCGATTTCAATCAAAGCGTTCCCCATGTTCATATACTCATATCAATAGTGTCATTCAAATTGAGTTGATCATTTATTTTCATATCGTCATATTATTAGTGCCATAAAATATTATTTTCACTAAATACGCTCTATTGAGTAAATACTCAAATGGTCATTGTTGCATCACTTATAAAAAAGTGTGCAACTGGTGTCATAGAGGCGTCCTGAATAAGGTTTTATGAACTCTAGAAATATTGTAGTGTATCTACCACTACACAAATATAATTCCAATTCTTTAGTATATAAGACATGTTAACTCTATACTATGTTGACGTACCTTTTCATAGATGAAGGTTGACATTGTCTGTAACTCACTCCCCACATTGGTGACCTTCGGACATGATGTGAACACGCCTAACTTGGCAGAAACGTCCACTGCGATTTGAGCACGCCACCGATGGATGGTTCACAATGAACAGTTGACTTGTGACTGCGACATTGTCCTCCTCGCTCTGTTGCTTCTCAGTCTCGATCACACACAACGTCGGCCTGTATACACTCGACTGCTAATGTCAACATAGGAGCGATCGCGACCGTGAACTTAATACAGCTCTCACGATCAGAACTCAAAAGTACGGGGATCTTAGTACAGCTCTCCCGGCTTCTCACGAAACAGCAATGAGTCAACTAGTGGTATCCCTTCATCGAATTTTATCACAGATATAATTCTGGTGGGAGAGTCCTGTAATGTATCTGCCAGAAAAAAATATAATTCCAATTCACTTGACACGTTAACTCGAGACATGTTAACATAAGACGTGTTAACTCGATTCTATGTTGAGGTACCTTTTCATAGATGAAGGTTGTCTGTGACTCACCCCCACAATTTCTTAAATATCAAAAACTTATCTTAGGGCTCCCTAAAAGTTTTTACCACCCACGGGGGCATCCATGTTTTAGGTGAACATTTTATTGCATTCATGTTTTCAATTACTTATTCCAGATACTTGAAGATACTGAAAGATGGGGACTAGACATATTCAAAGTAGCTGAATTTTCAAATAGTCATCCTCTTACAGCAGTTTCCTATAAAATATTCAGGGTAATATATGTTTTTTTTTCTTCTTCTAATATTTATCATTTATAGATATTAAAGATCAATATATTTCTTTCTAGAACAGAGAGCTGTGTAAAACATTTAAAATTCCGTCAAAGACTCTGATAAATTTTTTATTGAATCTTGAAGATCATTACCTAAAAGTCCCTTACCACAATAGTAGCCATGCAGCTGATGTTACTCAATCTGTTAACGTCTTACTTCTAATGCCTGCACTAGAGGTAAGATTCTACTACAACAAAATATTGTTAGTCTTATAAACATTTTTAACAAAGTCTTTTAACATATCTCAATTTTAACTTTTAAAAAAAAAAATTATTCTAGTTGATTTTTCAAAACCATTTTGAGTCACTCATAGTCAATAAATCCTTTTCTGAACCAGAACTGTAGTGTAATCCAAATTTGGTGTTGAGAATCATTATTTCAAGTTAGTTAAACTAACCATACACATAACTCTTGGATCTAACTACACCAACACGTCTAAAAGAACCCCATGCTTTAACGGCTTCCCTGATTATCCCGAGTAAACTCGGGTATATTACAAATATTCATTATCCCGAGAAAATTCGGATGTAGCGGAATTTGTCAGTATGTTTTGTTTTATCGCGTTTGTACAAAAATAAATAAAATGTAATTTGTAATAATACGATGGCTGCAGAATTTACATAGAAAAAATAAATAGTGTATCACTTAGGTGTACACTTTGTGTTGTCTCTTGTTTTAAAAATTATCATACAAAGACTAATATTTATCTTTTTTTCATTTGGCCGAGATTACTCGGGATAGTAAACTGATGGTAAAATTTATATTTTTTACGTGAAGTGAAATATCGACTTAAAACTTGCGTTTTGTTTTAGTTCCTTGTATTTATTAATGAAATAAAAAAATATGTTGATTTTTTGCATTTTTTTTTTAAATTGTAAGGGAAGCGGTTAATATAAGCAAATTGAGCGTTTGTACAGTTGGCACCCTGAGTAACTTTCGTTCCAATGATCGGATTTTCACGAACTAATAGTCAATCTTAATGATTCCAAGGGGGGACCTCAAATATGCTAATTAATTAGTGCTAACTATTAATTAAATTACAAAATTAGACACAAGAACGTACTTTCTCTGAATATATATTTTCTTACATATTTGGAATCCTGACCCTTGAAATAGGGAGGGGGTTGGCAAAATATCGAAAAAATTGTGTTGCAAATAAAATTTATATATTTGGCGATAGTACAGAAAGTAGCCAACAAAATTCGCCCCCGAAAATAAATATTTTAAGATAACCCATAGACTAATTCAAAAGAGGAATACTTAATTTTACTCAGTTGCTAACAACTAAGATCTGACTATAAGAAAGAATTGGAATAATGTTCTGTGATTGCTCGGAGAGGTTTAATTAAGAGTTAATAGAAATTATCTTGAAGTTTCTAGGCAATAGACAATGTTTAAGCTGATTTCTGTCCAAAATGCAAAGATTTTTTTTTCTTTTAATTTCTTTTGAAAAAAAAAATTTGAATTGATTTATAAATTACTTATGATTTTTAAGCTTTTACAATTTAAATACGTAAACTTTCTATCTGACATTATTTGTTTGTTTTTTTATGTTGTTTTTACTATAGAAGGTTATTCATAATTCCCTCCGCCTGTAAACGCCATTTTTCCTTACTACAACTGGCTTCAGTGGTACATGTTACTGCCATTTACCGGCAACTGCTTAAACTAAAACTTGAATACTTTCGGAATAATTTCATGTTCTTTTTTGCTATATATTCCTCTTCGTTTTTTACTATAACGCTTCGAAATCCCGGAGGGAATTATGAATAACCCTGTATTTATACGATGATTTCATTCTAAAATCACATTTACATAACTTATCTAAATCACATTTACATAACTATATACAAAATTTTAGGTATAATCATTTTTACAGCTTTAATCGAGTCTTCTAAGCAGGAAAGTGTGAAGAAACAAAAAAAAAATGCCTGAAAAATAAAATGTAGATTATATAGTAATTCTAGTGCACATTCACAAGGTTTTCTATTATTTACGATATTTCTTTTTTCTATAACTCAAGGAATTCCTGAATGTTAAGTGGCATTTTAAAAACATTGAAATATGTTATGTTTAAGAATAAGATATTGAATTAATATGTTGCATATTGTATTATTCATTGTTTAAAAAATCGCTTCATTTTGCCAAATACTTAGGCTTAGGTTACATGACTTTCTTTCGATAAAGATGATTTGCAAATAGCATCCTCATGTTTCGCTACATTCTGAAATTTACGTTCGTAAATTCACCATAAAATGTCACACAGCATGTACTTCAATTATGATAAGCTACATTTATCACTAAATACCACTATTATGATTTTTCGTTTTTTGTTTTCTTATATATATCTGATACGATACTCTCTTTTTAAACCGAGTTCGTAAGGTCCTTAAGATACTGAAATGGGGGCACAAAAACTTACGATACAAAATATTCAATTTCATTTTAGCTCAAAATATCTGGTCTCAAAATTTAATTTTAAAGTTATAGATAACTTTAATAATTGCAATATTGATGCTACGGTTCTCTTAAGTTTTTAAAGACCGCATGAATCCCGTTAAAATATTAAAGCGCATATGTTTACTTTAACAAGCGTAAACTCCTTATCATAATAACTCTCAAGAACAAATGTATAATTGATAATAAAAACTCAACTGGCTTCAAAAAATACGAAAAGGAAAATAAAAGTCGGCATGTTTCGAGCATTCAAATATAAGCACATATTTTCAAGACTTGTCAGGCATGAATGACTTGTGACTTTAAACATTGAATGCTCAAAACATGTCTATTTTTATTATCATCTATTATTTAAATCAATGAAATTTTTATATTTTCTATTCAGTTTCTTAGAATTATACATTAAGTAACACAGCATATTAAATCATTTCACTCAATATTAAAACAAGTTTTACATAAGTTATAGGCACAGGTTCTTAGATTGAAAAAATAATAATAATTCACTACTTTGTAAAAAAATCAATGCAGAACAATTTTTCTTTTGCTGCAAACCTTAACATTTTAATTTAAAGGCATAAAAAAATTCCGTTTACAATTGAAATTTTAAAAGTCGAATGCGAAAATGGAATGTCCCCTAACACCAGGAATCGAAATTAAATAGTTACAAGGACAACTATTTCAAACAAGTTAATGTCCGTCCCACTCGAAGTTGCTTGAAAAGGCCAATGTTTGCCAATGTTTATTCAACATATATTTTAGGTATACTTTAGGAGTATTTCGATCGAGTTTATTTTTACACCCTTATTTGCTTAAAATTACTAAATAATTTGCTTAAAATAAATTATTCAAGGTATATGATTTAATGCATTTATAGTATAATAGTAAACGAGGCTTCCATCGCATATTCTTGATACCACTATCATTAAATAAATAGAATAAGCTAAGATAAATAATAAAAGTCAATTTCTTCTTCGGTTTAGTTTTAAAGGAATAATATGTTTCGATGAAACAGATTTCATTCTGGAAATAACGAAGTTTTTGAGTAGGTCCCTTGGAGCAATCCTCTTTTGACGAAATATAGGAAAAATTCACAATTTCTGTAAAAAGTATGCTAATCTTCTCGCAGCATATATATTTTTTTTTTATGAAAATAAGTTCAAAAATTGAGTATTTTTTATTGCATTTTTTTTAAATCAGATGATTCTAAAATTGGCACGGCATCGGAATCTTTTAAATAAATTTCAATTTTTAGTACTTTTTGTTCAACAAAATAAGGCATTTTCCTAACAACAAATTATACTTTGAGCCGTGATGGCTCAGGTGATAGAGGGTTCGCCTTACAATGAGGCAAACCGAGTTCGAATCCCAGTCGATACGAATTCCGCATCTGGCTTACACCGACCACAGTGCTGACGCGAAATATCCTCAGTGGTAGACGGATCATGGGTTAGAGTCCCTTTGCCGTCAGGCTAATCGTGGGAGATTCTTGTGGTCTTCCTCTCCATGTAACGAAATGCGGGTTAGCTCCATCAAAAAGTCCTCCGCTAAGGCAAATTTATCCCAATATTCGATCCAGGAGTTCCCTTGTCTTCTGGATTGGGATCAAAATTACAAGGCTATGGAGTTGAACATTAGTAGTTGTTAACCCATAAAAATTGGGTCGGCTATTGAGTTGCACTAAGCACTAATATGTATTTACTTTTAACAAACCAAAAAAAATAAGAAACAATAATGTAAATACATAAATAATTTATTTCTTCAATCTTAGAGAATCTTAGAGATCTGTCAGACGATCTCTAAGACGTTTTGCACTGAGTAATTTTATGTTTCTAAAATCTTATCAGCTAACTGACTATAGTTAGCTGATAAGTAAGCTATAATACTTAAAAAAAACTTAGCAATTACTTACAGCGAGTGTTAATGTAAAGAAAATCTCTAAGTACCAATAAAAGGTAAACAAAATAGTTTAGTATATTATCCGGAAAAAAATCTGTATGGTATCATAAAGAAAGAGTTAAAGATATAATGAAATAATTAGTTGGATAGTTCTGTGACTCACATGTGGTCAGATAATTAAAAATTTAGTTTCAAAACTAAGATGTTAAGAAGACATTTAGGATGCTGAGATATTTTAAGACGCTTTAAAAGTTTGGCTATATTTTCGACAGCTTTTTATATTCGGTATCTTTATACTCTTTGTAGTCACTTCAACACTATTTTAGATAATCTATGTTGAAGTCAAACGAAACAACAACAACAAAAAAAGACAATTAATAATTTATACTCATTTTTCGAAAAAAAATAGTACTCTTAGTAAATAGTAAGCTGTTTTGCATCAAATAATTTTAAACAGCGGAATGTTTTTAATTTCTTAACAAGGTTTTATTCTTAGCTAACAGATAATAATTCTAAGCTTTCTTTTTTTTAAAAAAAAAACTTGGCAATAATTTAAAAAGGAACTTTACTTTAAAGAAAACCTAAATTAAAGTACTAAAAAATTGTTTAGTATGTTAATTAAGAAATAATATACGTAGTAGCGTAAAAAAATAAGACTTAAAAAAATTTTAAAATTTAATTAAATAGTTGGTAAAATAGTTTTGCGAAACACTCCCGGACAGGTGATTAAAAAATTTATTTTAAGATTAAGACGATATTTAAGATGTTGAGAAATTTTAAGATGCTTAAAAATGTTTACTACGTATTCGCATTAATAATTTAAGATATATATTGAAGAAGTTGATAAATATATTATTCCAAACCTATGCATATGTATGTATATTATTAAAATTGTATTAATTATTTAAAAAACAAACACTAAAAACAAAATATGATCACATTAAATAAGCACAATTATATTCTATCAGAAGCATGCTTTTATACTCGACATTCGTTAACTCGACATTCGTTTAATAAAATGTTTTAATCAAATTTCTTTACTAAATTATGAATAAATTTTTAGACAACTAAAAAAGAAGCATCGTATTTATAGTTAAAAAAAATTTAAATAAAAAGATTAGCAATCGTTTATTAGCGAAAAAAATATGAATTAAATTTTACGCTACGCTCGCGGAGTTAACCTCATTTAAATATTTCTTCATTGTTGCCAAATTATTATTTTAAAAATAAATAATTTTAATTTTTATCAACTTTTACTAAATAAAAACAGTTGAAACAGTTGATTTTTCAATTGAAAAATATGTAGATTAATATGGTATCAAAAAATTCATACCTTATAATTCAAAATTTTTTCATCCTCAATTTAATTAAATAATAAAAATTAAAAATTATGAAAAAACATCTTTTGCATGAGGTTATATTTGAGTAAATGAGTTTTATGTGTGGGTGTAATTTTTTATTTTCTTAATTGGTTTTAAAAATATGACTACAAACGCAAAACGCGAAATTAATAGTAACATGTCTAAGCTTTGAATCACTCTCCTGACCAAACTATGGGGACCACATTTTCCAGATTGTGGCTACCCCCAATATTTTGAAGATTAAGAATCCAAATATGTAAAAAAATAATGTATGTTTATTCAGAGAAGTACGTTTTTGTGTCCAATTTCGTAACTTAATTAATAGTTAAAGCCAAACAATTAGCATATTAGAGGTCACCCCCAGAAACCATTAAGATTGGCACTTAGTACGTGAAATTTACGTATGCCTTAGTACGTGATCATTAGAACGAAAGTTATTCAGGGTGATATCTTCCTCTTTTTTTGCCGATTGTACACACCTTAAAGGGTGTAGTTAAACGCTAAACTTAGAAGCGTTTACTCTATTCATGAATTATTTTCGCCAACTCTGCCATACGTAAAACAACCGCCAGATTGGTATTTTTTGTTTACAATTGAGCAGAGGTTTGATTTTGTCTCGCACGGTGCTAAACATCTCGAAAAAAAAGAAGTAAAAAAGAAACAGAAGAAAGAATGAAAACCATTTATAGTTTTTGTTGCATATTAAAGATAGTTATATTCTCATAAAGAGATTTACATAAATCTGTTTTATATTTAATTTCTAATGGCTGCGGTATTGTTAAGCCTAGTTCGAACTCTCTATTCTCTCTGTGCTGTGTGTATATTTAAACAAAACTAATCTTAAGAAATATTATGTAATATGCAACTGAAATCAACAATTCTTGTTTTATATTGTATCGTAAAAATAACTTTACTGAATCTTATGCGCATCATATCTTACTGTAATTATAAATTTAGAGTTACTGAACCAAGAAGACGGCTACTTAACACTTAGTAACGTAAAAAAAATCCTCCTTGGCTCTTGGTGTAGTCAAATACTTAGATCCAAGAGTTATGTATGGTTAGTTTAAATGAAGGTTTACAAAATAAAATGCGCAACTATAATACACACTTTTATTTCTTTTAAAATTCGCGTTATTTTCTGAACTAACACCAATAAAACACTAGTCAAAAGTCTTTTTTTAAGAAAAAGGTAATAATATTTCTTTTTTTGGGAGAAAAAAAAATATTTCCCCTCTACTCTTTGCTGCTTTTCAAAGGCTCTGTTGACGCATAAAATGACGTTTTTTGTGCTATTTTCGCAACTGCTGTGCAGCATTTATTCACGACTGTCAAATTTAGCCAATCTTTAGCCAGAGCCCTCTTAATTTTGGCGTAAAACGCCTATAGGAAGAGATCTAATTCTTTATTATCTGAAAAGTGACACTGCATTATTTAAATTCATAAAAATTTGCAAAGATTTAAAATTATTCATTGATTTTAACAATCTTCATCTAGATGGAAAAATCTTTCAGAATCAGTGGTTTTTAACAACACATTACAAATGAAATGAAATAAAATCGTTCAGTCTAAAATAGTGATGTACAACAAATCAAAAATATTTTTTCGAAAAATATCTAATTTTTACTCTATAGTAATTTTGATTTTATCTCTTCGAACTAAAAAGATATATATATATGTCACGGCGAAAGACCGAAATCGGTGGTTGTTGACTTTCACCGGTGAAAGTCGACAAACACCAAATACGTCGGTGAAAGATCGAATGTTTCATTACATTCTTGTACATTCGGACCCTCACCGGTTCATGTCGACAATCACAGATATGCTTTGGTGAATGCCCGAAATATTTATTACATTCGATTTTATATCAATTTATTCGTGGATATAATTACATTTATTCGATATTTTAACCCTACACTGATGTTTTTTTAAGGTTAAGAGCCACTGCCCGGTATACATTTGCCCGGTATACCCTACGCTGATGTTTTTTTTAAGGTCAAGTGCCATTACCCGTTATATATTTTCCCGATACTCCAAACACTGATGTTTCTTCCAATCTATCGTCAGTAAGTTTTAAAATATAGAATAAATATAAATATATTAAATAAATATAATAATATTAACGAGCAAATTAATATAAAATGGATATAACAAATATTTCGGACATTCACCAAAGCGACTATGTGATTGTTGACATTCACCGGTGAGAGTCAGAAATAAGGGTATTTAGCAAATATTTCGGACATACACCAAGCGACTACTGATTGTTGACATTCACCGGTGAGAGTCGACATTTTCCAGATTTCGGTCATTCACCGTAACATATACATAAATAATTTTAAATGAATGTCATTTGATGCTTAACTGCAAAAAAAAGAGTAGTAAATAAAATTAATCGATTTCATTTCCAATAATTAAATTTTTTTTTTATCTTCTAGAAGACGAAAAATAAATACTTTAAGTCTCCTTTCATTCAAATATATTCTATACAAATTTCAACCAAATAATGATTGCCAATATTCTATTTACAGTCTGTGTTCACCGATTTGGAGGTGTTAGCAATTTTATTTTCTGCCGCAATCCATGACGTTGATCATCCTGGAGTAACAAATCAATACCTAATTAATTCAAGTAAGTCTCTTTTTTAAAATAGTCTAATACGAGAACATTATAGCTATATTTTTTTACTTTCTTAGAGGAGAAATATTTAGACTATTTTAAATGTAATTTATAGGTCAGAATATTCCGTTCTCTAAAAATGAAATATTGAATGGTAAAAAATCCTACAGTAATCTTTTAGGGAAGCCATATAATTTCAAGGAAATTCTATCTAAATTGAAAAGTAAATAAAGTTTCAGGAAGACACTGCTGGACAAGTACAAATGGATGTATAGCACATAAAAAACTAGGTTCATTTCAGATAATTTATTGTGCTCTGTCTGAAATATATTTAAGGAACAAAATAGTCGTTTTGTGCCCATTTGTAAGCATCCTGGATGTCAATAGGAGGTTCATGCAAGTTTCCCCAACAGTGTTCTTGTTTATTGCAGGGCATTCTCGATCAGCAACACTCTGCACAAAAGCATTTTCAATGGGATTCATATCTGGAGAACGCACTGGCTATACGAGGTGTCTCGACAGTGACTGTTCGATGACATGTTGCGACAAATTTGTACCCGACAGTCCCACGGAACAAGCGAACATGAGGCAGCAGAATATTATTGATGTATCACTGGTCAGTCTTAGTACCAGTTGGGAGCACATTAGCGTACAGCCTTTAATCATAATGCCAGAGCCGCGATGGCTCAGGTGATAGGACGTTCGCCATCCGATGAGGTGAACCAGATTCGAATCCCGGTCAAGGCTGGTCGATACAAATTCCGTCCCCGGCTTCTACCGACCACAATGCTGACATGAAATATCCTCAGTTGTAAAAGAATCATGTGTTAGTGTCCCCTTGCCGTTAGGCTAACCGTGGGAAGATCTGGTGGTCTTCCTCTCCATGTAACGCAAATGAGGTTTAATTCCATCGAAAAGTCCTCCACGAAGGCAAATTTCTCCCCAATACTTGATCCAGGAGTTCCCTTGTCTTCTAGATTGGGTTCAAAATTACAAGGGTACGTAGTTGAACATTAGTAGTCGTAAATCGAAAAATTGGGTCGGCTGATCAACGAGAGTAATAAAATAAAATCATAATGCAAGCCCATACCATGACACTATATGCAATATCAATATCACGTTAAGTCATTTGGCACCGATAATCAGACGAAAAACTGAATCTATTCTCATTTGAGAATGGTACGCAAGCCCAATCCTCTTCGCTCCAATTGCGATGCTGAAGACACAATTGCAAACGAGAGCTATGGTGACAATGGTACGCACACAACAGGTCGGTGTTCAAAGGCGCCGGCAGAATAATATAAAAAGGGGTGCAACCGTCTAACAAACTAACCCCCCCCCCCATTTTTTTTAAATATTCTGTTATTACGTTTTTTTCGTTATTACATATACTTTCATCTATTAATTTTTTTTTCAAGATTCAGGTATAGGACAAAATAATAGGAACACCTGTGAAAAAATGAAAATATTTTATTAATAAGGAATTGGGCCACCTTTGGCCTGAATGACAACTTGCATTCGGCGTGAGATTGACAAATAAAGGTCTTGAACAAAGTTCATTGGAATTTGCAGCCATTCCTCTTGCAGGGCTGTCTCGAGTTCAGAGAGTGTGCGTGGAGGAGGAAACCAAGCACGGACTTTTTTCTCCAAAAAACCCCAGAAAGGCTCAATGATATTGAGATCAGGGGACTGAGGACACCACGTTAGATGGTCCACTTCATAATTATGCTCATTTAACCATGTTTGAACACAGTGAGACGTGTGAACAGGGGCGTTGTCATCTTGGAACACAGGACGTTCTTCCGGAAAGAGAGTATTAAGCATAGGGTGAAGATGATCTGCAAGAATGCTTCGGTAATGGTCCCCTTTGGCCACCTCTCAAGACAACGAGAGGCCCCAATCCACGGGCAGATATAGCGCCCCACACCATCACTGAACCACCTCCATGTTTCACGGTTGGAACCAGGCAGTCAACATGAAATGCTTCTGCCGGCGTTCGTCACACGAACACACGTCCGGTGGTCTGGAATAGTGCAAAAGAGGATTTCCATTTAGTCCATTTTAGGTGGTCTTGGCACCACTGTAGTCTCTTCAAAGCATTCCGCGCTGAAACTAACGGTTTAAGAATAGCTACTCTGCCATGAATGTTAGCAGCATGCAACTCCCGTTGAATAGTTTTCATGGATACAGGGTTCTGAAGGTGGGTATTCATCTCGGATGTTATCACCGGCAGTGTAGTCTTGCGTTTTCGAGAGACTATCCTCTTCAACATCCGTCTATCACGGTCTGACAACTTCGACATCCTGCCGCTGTTGTGCCTCGCCGAAGACACCTTACCCAACTTTGTGTATGCCGACAGAGTCCTTGATTCAGTGGTCCTTGAAACACCTACAAGGTTCGCTGTTCTGGATACGGATGCTCCAGCCAGGCGAGCTCCGATTATCATGCCTCTTTTAAGGTCAGAGAGGTCGGACATAATCTCGTTTTACTAGAAACAGATTTTTCTCTTGCAAATCTCACACTGCCAAATGCTAGACAGATACATTGTCTTTCATTTCCTCTAGGTGTCACATTCTTGCGACACGTGCCCGCCGCTTATTGGACTGTCGAGAACGACTCCATTCTTTCACAGATGTTCCTATTATTTTGTCCTATACCTGTACATTTCTTCATTGTTAACAAGATATTTTTAAAAAATTACGAATTTACGTGATCCGAAATGTGGAGGAATAGAGAAAATTCTTATGAATCCCTCAAGTACATCGATTTAGATATTGAGGCCACACCGTTTTATCCAACTGTAGCGGATGCAATCAAAATTGTCCTAACTCTTCAAGCTACTACGTGCACTATTGAACGTACTTTTAGTACAATGCGACGCATGAAAACATGGAATCGGTACTACAATGTCTCACGAGAGATTAAATAGTTTGTGCATGCTCAGTGTGCATAAGAAAAGAATCAAAGATGACTCAGAATTCATTGAAAATGTTATAAAAAGATTTGGACAGCTAACAAGACGATTACAATTCTTGTTTGATTAAACAATTTTTAATTGTTATGAATCAATAATTGTTTAACTATTTGCTTTTGAATAACAATATTTTTAATAAAAAAAATTTTATACTCTTTAATTGTTTAAAAAAAGCCAGGGGGGTGCAAGTGCACCCCCTTGCACCCCGCTGCCGGCGCCCTTGTCGGTGTTCGTATAGTCCTGTTCATGAGCGTCTGGCTACAGTTTTTCGGGAGATTCTCTTGCCAATAACAACGTGAAACTTATTTGCTACATAACTGGTTGTACTGCGTTGCTTCCTTTTTGTCAATAACACTATGCACCTGTCTTCTACAGGTGTCGTAAACAGAACAAGGCAGTTGTTTGAAATGATTTCCATAACCTTGAAACAACACTGTGGCTGAACTCTGTTATTTTTTGGCTTTCTTGCCAATAATACGGTTTTGTTTGACAGCTCTGTAGTTAATCTTAAAAAGAGACTCCTATTACACAATTCACTATCAAGCTTATATGACACTTAGAAATAGTTTTAATAAAAACCATTTTCAGGTTTTTTAAATAAAATAGTTATAATCACGCAATTTTAAAATCTTCAGAATTATGTGATCGTAACTATTCTCAGGACCAAAGAGAATATAGAGAGGGTTCATTCCTTACTCAAAGCTGAAACTACGACCTCCTGACGTCACGCCGCACACAAATCTCGGAAAACTACAACTAAAGAATAAGAAAACTTTACTTTCTGTAAGAAATGAGTTGAATGTTCGACACTTTTCTAATGATAGCTGTCACACTTTATACTACTAACAAATTATTTCTGTTTTAAAATATAGTATTCATACATTTTAAAGTTAGAAAATTTCCCAATGGTTGTCGTCATCGTTATATTATCGTTTTCTAATTTTAGTTTCTAACTTTTGCTGTTAAATAAAACAAAGCATATAAAAGCACTTTTATAGTTACATATTGTTGGTTAACAATAGTTTATTAAATGGGATGTTGTCTAGTTTTTATCTTTTCAGATATTTATACATTATCACTAAGAAACAAAAACCTTAAATGCTAATTACTAAAAAAATTTATATTTGAGCATACAATAATAGAAATATTACTCATAAATGTTCAAAATTGAGGTATATAAATATTTTGAATAATGACATTAAAAAATACATTCATTATGAAATTGGAAGAATTTTTAAGCATTAATAACTTTTATTTTCGAAGTTCAGGATTCTATTTATTTTTTGTAATTTTTTTCTTTTTTTCTGTTAAAAGTAACAAGACGGTATCGATTTCAATGGCTAAGAAAAATTCTTAAACGTCTAAACGAAAAACATAATTCCTCTTTATTCACAGGAATTCTTTTACTACATTTTATAATTTATTTGATGTCACCCCTATATTTTCTGAAGTAAAACATTGAAAATTGTTATTTCTCATTTTATGTTTTACAATCGTTCTTGACTACTACTGTTATATTTTTGCAATCAGGCGAGAAGAAAATCACCTCAAAATAAAAAATACATGGAAAACAATGAATGTTGTGAAATAAGTTTAAAAAAATAATGCTATTTATACGCGAAACAATTTATTTTTAAAGCGAGAAGTTGATGGTACTGACTGAAACACTTTTTAGCCCTGAACTATCCGATTTTTTGCTTTCTTTTCCTTAACAGTCATGAAGAGTCCCATTAAATATAATTGTAGTAATTAATAATAACATTAATTGAAACAATTGTTGTATCTTGGAAAATGGCTTTTTATATATTCTAAAAAGATTTGTTAAAAAAAATACTTGAAAATAAAAGGATAAATTTATATTCTAACAGGTTCTGAATTAGCTTTAATGTATAATGATGAATCAGTTCTGGAAAATCATTCTTTAGCTGTAGCCTTTAAACTTCTTCAAGATGAAGCGTGTAATATTTTTGCCACTTTGAATAAAAAACAATTGTTGAGTCTTCGAAAAATGGCTATTGATATGGTAAGTTTTTTTCCTTACCCAACACCAATTTATTTAAAATTTTTGCTTTATGTTATACATCGGTGTCATATAGGTCAGAATAATGTTTGCTGAGGGAAAGAATTTCTTTTTAAGGAAAGAATGTTTTTTTACACACAATTTATAAAATGTTGTTTTGAATAGCTCCAAAATCTATCGACTTAATCAGTTCAACTATGGAAAGGATGTATTCAAACTGATGGTGGATGTTTCTTTCCTGGCATATTAAACTCCATTTGATATAAAATGCACTGAATTCACATCCATACAATTCTGCAATCAACAGTTTTTGTAAGATATAGTTCGTTGGTTCCTCGGAAGCAGAGTTCATTTCAGCGCTTAAAATTGAGACAACCCTTAATGCATACCAAGCACAAACTGTTAATTATTTTTCAGTCATTTACTTTGCTCTGCTATTATACCTAGCTAATTAAATATATTTCAAATTTAAAAACTGCTGTTTCCCCTGCAAAATGTCTCAAAAAGGACTTCACTCAAACGTGAGAAATATCAACAAAAAAATGGCACGAAATATCATCAAATTTATAAAAAATATTCAATGTTAAAAAATTGCATATAAAGTTTGCGAAATAAATATTTTTGCCAAACGATCGCTAAATAGCAACCCTTGCTCACAACCTTCTCCCAAAAATAGCGAAATAGTATCGTCGCATATCACGTGATGAAGGCGGAGCCAATTGCCAACTCCTGGTGAACGAGCTATAGTATACATTAGTCTGTTTTCGTATTTTTGATAAATTTTTTTTCGTTTTGTGCAATTTACGCTACGAGAATTTTTCGCATCATTCAAATCAATTTTTATCAGTGTAATAAAACAAAAGTTTAAAAAAAAAACTGAAATCGGACAGCTTTATTGCTTTGAAAATTTGAGGAAATATCCAGAGAAATTATCAAGCATTATTTCTCTCAATCTAATGAAGCTTTATTTTTCACCATTTTTAAAAGGTAGTGTGTTTTCGAATAATATTACATCTAACAATGGTAACACTTGTCGATGTGGGGATCTGGAATTAGTTTTCCCCCTTTTTTTAAATTCATTTTTGTCGAAAACTCCCGGTTTAAGAACGTTATATATAACAGGGACTCTCGTAAATGTTGCGACAAACTTTTAGGGGAGTTAGGGGGGTACATCATCACGATTAAAATTGGATAGAAACCCGGAAATGTCGTTGTACGCTGTTAGAGGCACTTCCTTATGATGGCCTCCTTAGAATTTGATTTATTGATTTATTGAAATTACATACATTTGCTGACTTGTGTGCTCAATATAGGCTTATAAGNATTCATTTTTGTCGAAAACTCCCGGTTTAAGAACGTTATATATAACAGGGACTCTCGTAAATGTTGCGACAAACTTTTAGGGGAGTTAGGGGGGTACATCATCACGATTAAAATTGAGAAACCCGGAAATGTCGTTGTATGCTGTTAGAGGCACTTCCTTATGATGGCCTCCTTAGAAGCACATGAAAGAAACGATTCATAATGGGGAAACGCTCCTAGCGGTGTATGGCGACATTTTCGGGTTTCTACGCAATTTTCATTCTGATGATGTGCCCTAACTCCCCTAGAAGTTAGTCACATCATATACGCAACTTCCTGTTATAATAAAACGTTTTTAAGCTTGCAAATTTTGACAAAAACGATACTGTCTTTTAAAGAAAAGTAACTTGGAAAGGGAAAGCAGATTTTAAAACAGCTTTGTGAAAATATCCAAGATCAATTAAAAAAAGCAAAAGGGAAATTCCAAAAATGATTTTTGATACTTTCTTAATACAAGATTTAAGATTTTCATAGAAAGTTCTTTGACACATGGAAATGTTACAGGTTTTAGCAACTGATATGTCAAAACACATGAATTTGCTGGCAGATTTGAAAACCATGGTGGAAACTAAAAAGGTTTCAGGATCAGGAATGGTACTTTTAGACAACTATACAGAAAGAATACAGGTAAACTGTCAAGTATATTGAATCTAATGTCTCTGTAATGCATACTAACAGACATTCGTAATGGTTGACGAACTACTAAATCATTAAATATAATAACAGACTACACTTTAAGTTGCCAGATCTGACCTAAAAACAAAGCTTCTCTGAATAAACTTATTTTATTTTGACGTTTAAAAGACTCCTCCATGAGACAAACATTTCCGACCGGATGTGATTCCAATTTATAACATTTTATTAGATGGTGATTAAAGTCATTCTTTTTATTTCATTTTGGGTATTAAACATATGAATTTTTAAATGAAATTACGGGGAGAATCGGTCCTTCCCTGATTATCCCGAGTTATATTGCAAAAATATTTATTATCTCGGGTAAACTCGGGCATAGCAGAATTCGTCGGTATGTTTTGTTTTATCACGTTTTTATTCGGCCAGAAGCAAAACGAAAAATAATAATAATCCGCTGTGATTGGAAGTTGGCCAAATTTTGTTTGGGAGTTTTGCTATTTGTTGGACTGCAGACGTGCTTTGTTCAATTGTATATAGGGTATACTAACCAGTGAAGGAACACTTAAGTTTGCATAATATTGTCTTAAGCTTTTGGTGGTTCAAATAATAAGTAGTAAGATAACCAAGTGAAGGAACAGTTCTTACCAGTGAAAGAACACTTAATTTTGAGAATTTTTTATGCTCTTTAGGAATTAATAGGGCGTACAAATGTCTAAAAACAAGGAATTTTTCTTTGAATTATAACATCTAACCACAGTTAACGTGGACAATGATACTTTTTTTTCAGTCATGAAATGGAAAGTAAAATGGGGTTGAATACAGAATTAAAAAAATGTTTTTAATTTTCTTTCTCACAGTTTAATTAATAGTCGAGTCTAAATTATTAATGCTTATCATTGTGTAATCCGATGATGCTTTATTACTATTCTCCACATTTTTTGGAGCTTTTCTTTTTTTTAAATCTTTTTAAGTATTTTTTTCTCTTCATCATACTTTCTTGCTTTAACTCCTTTTTCTGAAGTTAATGCAAAAGGTAATTTATTTCTTTTTATTTTGATTTGATCTTCCTCTTTTTTTCCAATATTTGGCCAATGTAAATGTATCTTCGAAATTTCTTCTGATTTTCTAGTACTATTTCTAGAATTTCTCACTGGACAATTGATGGGATAAAGGTGTTTCGAAGATTGNAGCATCTAATCACAGTTAACGTGAAAAATTTTGCTTTTTCTTCAGTCATGAAAGGGAAATAAAATGGAGTTGAATCCAGAATAAAATAATTTTTTTAATTTTCTTTCTCACACTTTAATAGTTGAGTCTAAATCATGAATGTTTATCATTGTGTAATCCGATGATTTTTTTTTACTATTATTTTATCGCGTTTTGTTAAATCTTTTTCTCCATATTTTTTGAAGCTTTTTTTTATCTTTTTGGGTATTTTTTTTCTTTTCATCATACTTTCTTGCTTTAACTCCTTTTTCAGCTCTTTCAGTTTCTTTTAATTTTCGTCCTTTTTCTGAAGTTAATGCAAAAGGTAATTTATTTCTTTTTATTTTGATTTGATCTTCCTCTTTTTTTCCAATATTTGGCCAATGTAAATGTATCTTCGAAATTTCTTCTGATTTTCCAGTACTATTTCTAGAATTTCTCACTGGATAATTGCTTAAAAAAGGTGTTTCGAAGTTTGAGGAAAATCCATCTCTTATTCACCTGAACACGCATGATGTGAAGGAACATGCCTGTTCCTTCACTGGTTAGGAGTTGTTTTCTGTATTTTTAACATAATTTTGATGTATAATATGACTAAAGGTACAAGAAAATTAAAAAATTTCTTTTACTTTCATTAACTTGAAAAAATTCCAGCAAAGGAACCTTTGTTCATTCATTTGTTTTTCAACATTTGGTAATCCAGTCAATAAACACCCCCTAATCTCAGTACTTGCTTATGCTATGAAGCTTAAAATAAATAAAACGTAACTTCAATAACCATATTTTGAATTCTTGTTTTCACAGTGAGAAAAGTAGAACTATTATATGCAATTAATTGCGCTTTAAACGGATTAATACAAACGATGACCTTATAATTTTATCATCGACACAAGGTGCCGAACTAACAAATTCAAAAAAATTTCCAGAGAGGACTGTATGACCAGGCAATCCAATGCATTGTTACATGACTTCCAATTGTTAGGTAGTAAGCTACTGTTACCAATCAATCTAAGTAAAGACGTTTAAAATCTTAATTTTAAAAAATATTTATCAAATGTTCATTGACTGGTTAGTTTATCCTACGATGGTTGATGAATTTACGTAGAATAAATAGTAAAAAAAGGGCGTCCGCGAGAGAAATTATGCAGATGACTTTTCAGATTATGAAGATGTGAACATATGCAAAGACTAATATTTAACTTTTTTCTTTTGCCCGAGATAATTTGGGATAGTAAACTGAACAGAAGAAAAAGAACTTTTTGAACTATCTTTAGAACTACGATTAAAATCACAAGTGAATTCAATGAATATAGATCAGTTCTGGAAGAAAAAAAAGATATTCCCATTTTCATGCAAAAGCATTGCCTATTTCTTCAACTTATTTGTGAAACAGAATTTTTAGTCATGAGTGGTATTATAACGAAACATCGAAAACTACTTAATCGTGTGCCTGCTTTACAGATTGTTGTAACAGATTAAACACCTAGAATTGATCAACATGTTACTAAGCATCAAACATCACATTAACCGCTTCACTTACTAATTTTTCTTTTTTGAAAAAAAAAAAAAAATTTTTTTTTGTTTTATTAATAAATACAAGGAACTAAAACAAAACATAATACACAAGCTTTAAGTTCAAATTTTAATTTTTTTTATGAATAAAAAACATTTAATTTNACTTATTGTTTTTCTTAATTTTCTTCGTGTTTATTTTCTTTTTATCCTTTCTGTATTTATTTATTATGATATATATATATATATATATATATATCATAATAAATAAATACAGAAAGGATAAAAAGAAAATAAACACGAAGAAAATTAAGAAAAACAATAAGTTTTATTTACTGCGCATAAGCTGCAAGTAAATAGAACTCATAAAATAAGTTCAAAATGTAGAGAAAACATGGAAAAAATTACCAAACAATGAAAAAAGGGAAAAATAATAATAAAAATCCGGAAAATAAAAGATTATATCTTTTATTTTCCGAATTTTCCCTTTTTTCATTGTTCCATGTTTCCTCTATAAATATGAATATAAAAGGACTTAATCAATTGGTAAAGAAATTGTGTTTCAGGTTCTCCAAAATATGGTGCATTGTGCAGACTTAAGTAATCCAACTAAGCCTTTAGATGTTTATAAGCAATGGGTTGATCTCATAATGGAAGAATTCTTTCAACAAGGTGATAAAGAAAGAAGTCAAGGAATGGATATAAGTCCAATGTGTGATAGACATACAGCTACAATTGAGAAATCACAAGTATTTCCTTATTTTTCAATTAAATTGCATGTTCTTTTAAAATGTATGGAATTTTAATAACTTTAAAATTATTAACACTTTGAGAAGCTTTTCTCACTTCAAAGTGATTTGGATATTCTCTATCAAGTGATACAGGACAAAATAATGTCAACACTAATCAATCTTTCTTTTAGCTGCAAATGTTTCAGCGAACTATCATGCTTGAAGCTTTTAGTAATGGTTTTATCCATGCAAATTTTGCATCAACTAAAATGAACATAAGAAGTTAAAAGCTTCTCTTTTTTTTTCTTTTTTTTNTTTTTTTTTTTTTTTTTTTTTTTTTTTTTTTTTTTTTTTTTTGAATAAAACTAGAATTCTAAAAACATTATTTTCACAATCCTATAGGATAGAACGATTTCAAAATTTCTGGTATTGACCTCATTTTGGTCCATGCTAATGTTGCGAGGGTTAAAATCTCACCATTTCTAAAAGCATGATCTTTCAATTTGTGCCAAAAGTTTTGTCTTGTAAGATCTCCCAAAACATTGCAACTAAAAGATTGTTTATATAAAGTTAGCATAGAAATGTTCACATTATTTTGCCCTGTACCTGTGAATAAGGTTTTAATAGCAGTTACTTTCTAACTGAAACTAATCAATCTATCCATAAAGATAAGAAATATTTTGTTTCATAAAATCGTAATTTATTTGTTCAAGTTTTTCCCCTAGCTAATTTATATATTGCTTCAGAAAAATAATAGAACTTTATACAGTTTCAGGTTTAATTTATGAATTTTCATTCTGTGGAAGCTAATAATTTGTTAAGAAAGTTTAGTTAGTTACGTCCTAGAACCGAATATTATAAGAAGAAATGGCCCCAATTCTAGACAAACATCAGTTTCTTACATAGATATCAAGAACTGACTGGAATTCAATAATGAAGCTGCGTTACATAGTTGAAGCATATATCTTTACAATAGTTCATTTCATGCTGGACACCATTCAACATGGTATTGACAGCATATGTTTCTTGTGGGGTTACATAAGACATTTTTCTAATAGCCTTTCTTATGAAAGGGTCTGTGGATAATACTATATTGAAAAAGAGTTGAGCAAGAAATGGACTATAGCATGAATGTATGAGACTAAGGGTTCCCACATATAAATTCATTTCATTGCTGTTCATTTTTCATACTAGGAGGAAATAATCCTTTAAATATATTAAAATATATATTTATTTCATTGCAGGTTGGATTCATAGATTATATTGTTCATCCACTTTGGGAAACTTGGGGTGATCTTGTTCATCCAGATGCTCAAGATATTCTAGATACTCTAGAAGAAAATCGAGACTGGTATCAAAACATGATTCCTCTAAGCCCGTCAAGTAGTCGGCAAAATGTTACGGAAGAACCTATTAAATTTCAAATCACTTTAGAAGAACCAGAAGAGTCATAAAACGCAACATCATTTGAAATGATCCTACCTTTTGAAGATAAAGCCCGTCCTCAGTTTGTTTCTTTTTAACCAGTTAAGCATTTTAACAAGCCCCGACAGGGTGCAGAATTAAAATCAAGCAACATCAAACGCAGGAAAAATGGTCCTATTATAAATTTTACGTAAAGCCTACTACTAAGTTTTTTAACTGTTACAATATATATGAAGGACTGTTTTTTTTTTTTTTTACTCAAGACAAAATAAATAGTGATGAATAGTTTAAAATTAAAAATGGTAAGTCCTCACCAAAACCAGCTACCAATTTACCTTGCTTCAAAAGAAATAAAGATAGTAGTATTCAATTCAAGAATGGCTACCTCGTAGAGCCAGTAGTATTGGTCCTGCTAATTGTTTACGCAACCAAATAACGGCTTATTTCAAGCCCCGCTTTACAATATAAAATAGTTAGCAGTGCTGTTAGTAAGAAAATATATAGACAATTAGTATATTTGAAACTTAGAGTTTTGATAATCAATGGTATTTTTTTATTTCACACGAGGTGAAATGCACTGGTCTGACATGCTTAACTGGTTAATGACTATGACTCTTGTGTGATGGATGTTAGCTTTTTTTAAAAGCATAATCGTATTCCAGCCAACTTGTTCCTTAATCTAGTACCTATATTTTGTTATGTTCTTGCCATCTATAAATTAATGAATGCATAACGGAAAACGTTATTTTCTCTACACACATTAGTAAGAAAGGATATTTTTTTATTAAATGTAAAAATTATTTTAATACAGTGGAGAAAATTAATTTATGGAAGGCAAAAATATTTAGAGCGTTTATCGAAGGTTGTTATTTAGACTTTCACACTATACAAACTAGTCAGGCGTATATTTTGTCACACATCATTCTTATAATGAAGTGTAGCAATCAAAAGCATATCATAATATTTTGTAGGTCAATAGAATGTTTTGATTATTTAACAGGAACCACCAAAATCATATTCAAGAGACTTTGTATTGACTAAAATACCAATGTTTGGTTTTTGTGTGTTTAGTTTGGACATTTGTGTGGCACAATTTTATGAATTCTCCTCATTTACATGATGTACATAATTGAACATTCATCTATTTTGAGCTGTTTATATCTTTCATCAGAAAATTATGAAAACAAATTTAATCTTGTATATTTAACATCTTAGAAGATGAATTTTCACACTCTGCCAACGTTTTTCAAAGTCTTTTGATCTCATTAATCTTTGCTTTTTGTTTAATTTATGCTCTTCATAATAGTCAAGTGTTACAATCACTCTGATATAGAATAGTTTGTGGAAGCACTTGTGTTCTGTTGACGTACAAAATAAATTTTGCTCTGCTACACAATTATGTGTTAGAAAAAGTATATTTATCCAAGTGAGATCTATGTATGCACTGTAGTTTTAGAACACAGAACTTTCATATCAATAGATTCGCCATTTTCTTTCAAACAGCTATTTTTAAATAAATAGATTTCTAATTATGAATTGAAAATCAACTCGATTTCCTTTAAACCACAAATTTATAGAAAAGGAAACTATATTTTTAAGAGTCTTTAGTAGTCGATGTTCAATAAAATGTATTATTTACTCAGTAAATAAAGTACTGAGCTGTCTACTAGGGTCTCGGCCTTAAGTCTACTCAAGTTAAGAATGATAAATACCACCTTATCTGAGAAAAAAAAAGGCAGATAGAGCACAATGCTACCAGCATGTCGTTGGTCATAAAATCTTTGAGCCTTGATCTCCATGACCAGAAGGGCTGTTACAGAAATGCTTTACTCAACAGTTTAATATTACTTTACTTCCTAGAATAAGGAATGTAATTTAGTTTCATATAAAATAGTAGGATGGTCATATTTAATAAATTACCACTATGAATTTTCTTTTCAAAAACTTAATTATTTCATATTTAAATAAATAACACAAAAACTAATAAAAAAATTTCCAGAAAAAGTATTTGCTGGAAGAGCATAATTAAAATATGATAAATAAATGATTAGTTATGGTGGTCTAAAACAATGAACATTAGCAATAGCAGTTAAAACTTGAGAAAAATGCATCACATTAAAAAAAATTTTAATAATGCCTAAACTCGGCCCCTACGTCAACCCTTGGGGGATGACGCATTTCAAAGTATTAAATTGGAACCCACATTTTTAATTGTAAATTTCTCCTGAAGGCCTTAGAGGGTTAAAGTCACGTTTGGTGTTATAAATTTATTCAAAATACCAAAAATATCTAATTTTTTTTAAGATTTATTTCTCAAAATATTTTCATTTCGCAATTACAGTGCCATCTATGAACCAAAAAGTAGAATCCTATAGATCAAATTGGGGTAAATCCAAGTCTGTTACAAAAATTCTATTTAAGATTTTGAAGAAAGCAGTGAAGAAAGAGGTCGAAATTGAACTGCATAAAGCCAAACACAGATGGCATTTCTTTTATCGATTCATTGTCATGCCAAAACCTAGGGTTGTATTTGTCTATTACGGAGATAATCCTTTACAGACTATTGTTTTTCTTACTTTTCAACATTTAGAATGATTTTGAGTTGAATTTCATAAAGAGATAATTCGATGTTTAAACAAATAAATAGCTAATATGACGCTCAAAAAATGTATAAATTGTATTTATTTACTGTTCATAATATTTTAAATTCAATAGCCATCTGATTACTTACATAAAATTGGGAAAAGCGTAGCTGAAAATTTGATTCTAATCTTATTAATAAAGCAATGTCAAAGAACAGAAAATTGTTTGTTTTTGAGAATAATTTCACAAGTGTAATGATGGCCGCCTTTTTGGGCACCTTATTTCGATGCAGTGAAGAATTAAGCTCATAAATAAATCTCAGTAGTAAAATGGAAATTATTTACAAAACATTAATATGTTATTTTAGATTGCTTTTCTTCTCACAAGTGCCAAATTTGGTGCTTTTGCCAAATGCTTTAGTAATATTGCAATAGTGTGAATGCTTCAATTTCTGAACAAACATTGTAAAATGAATAAAAATGTCTCTTATTGTTCTCGTTCAATTCAAATCCCACAGCAACTATTTTAATTCAAGAAAAATGAATAACTTCTGATCTAATGATCAGATTTTCATGCACTAAAATGCTAATTAATTAGTGCAAAAGATATTTTAAGTCAAGAAATCAATTACAAAAACATGCTTTCTCTAAATTAACATACAACCTTAATTTGGGCAAACTTTGATTTCTGATCCTCAAAATAAGGATGGTAGACGTAATCTTGGAAATATGGTCCCAACAGTTTCACCAGGAAAATGGTTGAAAATGTAGACCCCTTAATGTTAATTATATTTTTTGCATACCTCGAAAATTTTTTAAAGGAATTGAAAAATTTCTGCACACAATTATAAAATTCATTTTTCAAAGTTGAAAAATAAATTATTTTTTTATTATTTATCAAGCAGAAAAATTGTGTTCAATTATTTTTCAATTTTTCGACTATTTTTATTTCATTTAAAAATAGTCAAAAAAAAGTTTTGAATCGTGAAGTAAAAAATTTTTTTTCGGGTATTATTATGTAAAATAATAAATAATTATTAAAAATTTATTTTTAGATGGAATTATCTTCGGATAAACAAAATTCATAATTGCGTGCAAAAACTTTTCGATTTACTTAAGGAGATGAGGCAAAATATAATCACCATATCTCTGAAATTTATGTCGAGTTATAATTTCTCATAATATGGTGAAATATACAAAAAGGAAGATTAACACTAAGGGGTGCAAACTTTTAGCCACTCACCTAACCTAACTAATGGGACCATATTTCCCAAATTGTGGCTTCCCCCCCCCCGTTTTTGAGGCTTAAAAATCTTAATCAATCAAAAATAAAAAAAAAAGCTATGGTTTAATAGTGTTTTTTTTTTGTGTCAGATTCCGTAATTTTAAATATCGTCTGCACTAATTAGTTAGCATATTTGAGGTCAGGGACTCGAACCATTATGTACCTGTCTGGTACTTGAAAAACTGATCAAATGCTGTACTGATTTTTATTTTGTCAACTGAACAATGGATCTTCTGCAATGTTATATAACGAGCTTTTCTACCAGTAATGTTGTTCGGTAAATGAAGACCCACAGCAAACCAGAATTTCATTTCGGAAGGGCCATATAAAAAAATTGACAGAGAAAAAAAAAAGCTCCCGATATTTTAAAAATGAAATCTCCAAAAACTCAATAAATCTCACCTCTAGTTTTTCCCAGAAAATATAACGTCGATGGAGTAAACTAAACTAGACAGTGGTTGAACATGAACCATTGGGCATTGTTCAACCATGGTCAAACAGATAGTGCTGGTGATCACTAAGTGGAGGTCCCAGTCTAGTCTTGTTTTGTAGCTTGACTTTTTGGAGTTTAGAAACATCAATGTTATGAGGTATTGATACACCCAGTTGAAATTGAAGAATGCTATTCAAGAAAAAAAGCTTCGGCGTTCGGATGATCTAGAGATTTTCATCTGTGTCCAGCTGCTTCCAAAGCAATTTTGAAATCACTCTTCTGTATTCTGAGCCCTGATTTTTTTCCTGGAGGGTTTTTTGAAACTGATAAGTAGTAGTAGTACTTAAGAGCTGCAGAATAGGCTATTAACGATGATCTGGGAAACATGATTTTGATCCTCTGCAGAGGGGGTGGTTCCTCCACTTTGGTAGCCAGGCGAAGTGTTGAGAGCATTACTACAGAACAGCTAAATGCAATACCACGCGGGCTCAGCCCCTTCACAGGCTGATCAAAATGGTCACCCACCCACTCACTGACCGCATCTAACAACGCTTGACTTCGGTAATCTACTGGGAATCGTGTTTTACAGTCAGTTCACTGTGGCACAGAAGCTTTTTAATCAGCATGACAAATGTCTCTGGTATAATTATGTCAAAATATAAAGTTATCTTTATCTAATATCTGCTTATATATTTCGCCCGGAGAAACTATTTCTGCTTTTTACTTGCCACTCCAAAAAATAGCTTGAACAGTTCATTCCAGATTCTTAGTTTTGTACAATACCTCTTATTTCATACTCTAATTTATTTTTTACTTTATATTAAAAACGTTCTCTGCCAACCTTTCGATTGCTTGTAACTCAATTTATCTGTTCAATCACAGTAGGACGAATAATCAATAAAGTGGAAATAAAATATTGAAGTTGATTGATATTAGTTTGTAAAAAATGCAATTTTACAATTTAATTACTCTAAAATTAATTATAAGTTAAAACCAGACATATTGTTCATATTCAGACACATGGGGACATTGCTCCAAAGATCATAATTCTACTCTTGATAGTTTTAACTAAATAACACGGAACAACAAAAACTTTTACTCAAGAACCAATGTTCTCTATTCTTCTTACATAACAAAATCTTATATTTAATCTATATACAGAATAATAAAATCTAGATGAACGATATTAAAAGACAGATGAAAATTCCAAACCATTTCTACAAATTCTTACTCCTAATTTATATGAAGCCTGATGTCAGGCATCACAAGAGACACAAAAACCTCCGATTCACTTTGCCTACTTTCAGGCAAGCATTGTCGCAACACCTCTAAAAGAGAAAAGGTTCCTGCATGGATCAATTTAGTAGCCCAACATGGCAAATATAAACTGCACAGTGGGAGTTCAATTAAGATAGACATCACAACTGCACTACTAAACTGGGCAATAGAGTGTGTAGTGTGTCTACCACTACAAGTATACAATTCCAATTCACTAGTATATAAGATGTATTAACTCATAGATGAAGGTTGACATTGTCGGTAACTACTATCCCCACATTGGTGACCTTCAGACGAGATGTGAACACATCTACTTTGTCTCGATCTTACACAACGTTGGCCTGCATACACTCAACTGCTAATTGCAACACAGGAGCCTCACGATCAGCAAAAACACGGTGATCTTAATACAGCTTTTCCAGTTTCTCACAAAACAGCAATGATACAACTAGTGGTAGCCGTTCATTGAATTCTATCACAGCTATAATTCTGGTGGGCGAGTACTGTAGTGTGTCTACCACTACAAAAATACAATACCAAATCACTAATATATAAGAATTGTTAACTCAATTCTATGCTGGGGTACCTTTTCATAGATGAAGGTTGATAACAGCTTTCCCCACAAAGTGGAAGTAAGAAAATTTGTCACAAGGTTGGGACAATACTAAGAATAGAATCTTTTGTTTATGATAATCAGTATTTATATTCTAGTCACTTCCCCCAAACACCCTTAATAACAAAAATATCATAATTTTGGCAAAAAATTAGCAGTAAGAGATTCTGAAGCACCCACAAGAAAATTATAAACATTCTTAATATGAGGTCTTTCTGATGAACATTTTCATGTCAGAATGTTTTCTAAACATTTATCTAAAAATATGCAAAATTTCCTCCATTAGTTTTTCTGTTAGGACAGTATGAAGTGTGCCTGTGTGAAAACTCTTGAAACAAGGACAGTAACTTTGATTAAATTTTTAAAAATATATTTAAACTCTAAATATTTTATGTTGATCAAAATAGTTAGGTCTTAGAAATTAAATATGAAAAAAACATAATAGGCAAAGTAATAAAATAAAAAAATTTGAATTTACCACCTAAAATCAATTAATTTATGCAAAATATATTATATAAGCTCAGAATTTTAAAAAATGATCATTTCTAAAACAAATACAATGTGGAAAAAAAAGAAATGTAACAACCTGATCAGGCTACAGACAGGGTACAAACAGTCAATCTTCCAGAGTCTAACCTTAAATATTGCTGATTACTAGAGCAGATGATATTTTAAGGTATTAAATCAGACACAATAATGTACTTTCTCAGAATGAATTTTTTCCCGAAGAACTTGAGATAAACTGATTGAGGCTGTCCTCTATTATTGAACCTCAAATTATAGAGGACAGTCCAGAAAATAGAGTCTCAACAGTTTATCAAAGCTTTGATCTCCTAATGTTTATTCATTATTTAGTATATTTCTCTATAACTCATAACTTGTAAGCAAATTGAAAAATTTTACAGAACATTTTAAAATTCCTTTAATTAAAGATAATTTCATGTAAAAATAATTTTTAATAATTATTTATTATATTTTGTTAATTTTTACAAACACAAATTTTACAATACAAACTTTTACAACATCTTAAAGAATGTAATTTTAAATGTCAAAGTAGAAAATATGAACAAAATTGGTTGAATAATTCTTGTGAAAACTAATTTTAAATACACGACTTTTTTGAAATTTTATTATTCATAAAATATTTGCAAGATATTCATCAAATTTTGTATTTCACCATTTAGAATTACATTCCTTAAAATGCAAAAATTTGTATACATTACATTGCAATATTATTTCTAATATTAAATAAATTAATACTAAATAATTATTTGAAATTATTCAGACAAACAACATTTAATAATTATGGATGCTTCAATTTTTTTATTTTAGTATAAAAGTTGTTAAGTTTACAAATTTTTAAATTTCTTAATTTGTGTGTAAATTATTTGACATAGAATATAGCATAGATATTGAATGTTATACAAGTGAAAAGTAATATTAACGACAGATTTATTTCTGAATGATTTAAAACATATAATTAAAATATATCTATTTAAATTTTAAATAATTTATGTTTCTACGGTAGCTATAAAAAAATAGCAAATACTATTTTTTCACTTCATGCTTAAATATATTGAGGCAGCCAGTAAAAGTATTTATCTTCTACACTTATAAATCTATAATATTCACTAAAAAAATTACATTCATTTTTAAATTTTAAATTTATTTAAAGAAACAAGCAATAATTGTTTTTCTATTTTTCTTTCTTTTCTTTTTAAAAAAAATGGTTTATCTATAATCTTGTTTTTTAAAATCATATAATTAGGTCATTTATTTTTAAAAAAAAACTTTCTAAATGAGACAACAATTTCTGTATAATTCGTAAATGTTTTTTTCTGAGATAAAAAAAAATTAAGTGCAGAAATAACTACTAATATTGATTTGGAAAATATTAAATACTCCACTGAAGTTAGTATACTTAAAAACAGCCACAGAGGTTAAAAGAAGTAGTTCAATCATCAGAAATAAATATAAAAGCCTAAAAGTAAAATAATAGTAGCCTAATAAGCATCTCTACAGGGATGTCATCTGCTCCATTTTCTGCAATATATTTTTTAAAATGGTATAGAATTAAATACTAAAATTTCCTAAATTTAGGAAACTAAGCCAACACTTTAAAAGGCTTACCATGAGAGAGCTGATATTATGAATTTTTAAATTATTTATACATAAGGGAATGCAAAAAAAAAAAACAAAAAAAAATTTATCATATTTCTCAAACCAAGAATCACACATTAAAACATTAATTTCCTTAACCAGAGTAAGTTGTAATGTTTGCCGCTGGTAAAGTTGCACTAAAGGGGAAAAAAATCAAAAGTAGACAATGGTGAAAATACAATAGACAATGAAATAAGAAAGACAATGGTGAAAATCTTAGTAATACAAGGTTCATTATAGATAAATTGCATTTTACTTGCTCCATTAATACTGGGTTTTGAGTGAAAAATTATTCAATTTTTTTTCCACACTGTACAATCGATTTTAACAATACTAATAAGCAATATTCTTTCTGATGAATCATAAACTTGCGCACAATTTTATTAAAAAAGAACACAATTTAATAAAAAATTAGTAAAAACATAATAATGATAAGTTAAAATGTCAAAAAAAGAATAAAATAACCGACATTAGAAATTAATAGCATAAAAAAATATACAAATTTCAATGATGCAAAGAGCTACTTTATTAGTACAATAAAAATGATAAAATACTAGACGCTTGGCCCTTTCCTTGTTAGTGCTAACTAACAACCAATACAGCTTGCACAGTCTTTTTTAGATTGCCTTGTGATTTAAGCTCCCTCTTTACATTTTTTTACTCAGCCTCTGCATGTCTTTATTTTTATTTATAGTTGCATGAAAATAAAACTGGAAAAGGAATAAATAAGAGAAATATTGTTAACAATATATGTTTTATCATTAATAATGAAATATATTCTCTTGCAAAAAACTAACTAATCAGATTCTCATTTTCTCTTGACAGTGATAGGTGCATGAACAACTTGAAGTGAGAAGGATCTAACAAAATTATTTGACTAAAATTAAAATAACACTGTTTTATAATAAGAAAAAGATAAATTATCTAAAAAGTTTGATATTGTTCCAATGCAGAAAACTCAAATGGATTCTTTTTCTCAAAAAAAGTTTAGTTATTTTATTATTGAGGATATTATTTACAGCATATCCAATTTTATATTTTTGGTATCTTTTTCATGTCTTAGGCATTTGTAATTTTTTGTCTGATATTGATATTTACTTCAAATGATAAATTTTTTGAAATGAAGCAAATTAGATTATTCCAGAAGAAAATGAAATGTTTCATATGGGTTATTAAAATATTTATGTTTTAATATTATAATTATTTCATTCAGCAAACTTGTGTATTTGAAGAATCCCTTTTTTACACACTGGATTATTGACAATTCACCAGTAAATCCACAAGGTTTTATAGATCGTATTTTGGATATTGACACAGATTTTCCCAAGATTTTAAAATCTTGATTTTTTTATTCTACGTTGTTTTGAAAGGGAAATTTTGAATCCCACATTTGATTTTTTAATCACACACTATTGATGCACTCAAATTTGCAAATCATTTTATCGTCCACATAGTTTCGTCCCCATAAGCAGAATATTTTCAAATGTTCTGCAACAGAACTTATTAATTTATACAAATGTTCTGCAAGCATTACACAGCTAAAATAAGTCAACTTTGCATTAAAATACTATATTTTCATTTATTAAAATACAGGATCATACACAGATAAACTGCATTGTTTTTCAAAGCAAGGCAAACATTCTTGATTTGTTACTTTTTCAATCACTTTTGAAGTACAAAATTTTGTTAATGACGATGATGAATTATTAATAAAACGACTATGATATGAAGATCAGAACATTAAAATAAAGGGAGATTACTGATAAATGCGCTGAAATTTGAGCAGGGTGTCAAATGTTCCTCTTCTAAAGCAACATCATTCCTGGGAAACAACAAGCGGTCAAAGCTAAAGAGAATTTTATTCAAGATACAAATTGTTCTGCAGGACTTCGTTTGTTCTGCGACATACGTCACAGTTTTAGGCACTTTCTGCTTCTGTGGTTTCGTCAATCGCATTTTCAATATTTATTGTTGAATTCTATTTTGATAAAATATTATGATCCACGAATTTCAAATAACACTTTTGAATAATCATTTCATGATGTGCTCTAGTCGTGAAGATTTCAGATTTCAGCGCACATTCTGAAACTGTGTACACTATTCTTTCGGCAGAAGAAATTTTTTTACAACAGATGAGAGAGAAAAAAAAATGCTTTTTTTTTGCGCTGTAATGATAGGTATCTCTGAATTTTGTCTCTGTGATATTTATTAGAAATTGGAAAAAAATCAAACAAAAACGGAAAATAGATAAAAATAATAAAAAAGCAGAAATTAGTGGAAAAGCGGAGGATTCTGAAACAAAGGAAAATTTTGTTTCATCAGAAAATTTCGCAATTTTCATTGAAAAGTGAGAGCACGTTATCCAATAAAAAGCCAAAATGAATATTGTCTTCTAAATGTGATAAAGACAATAAAGCTGATACTTTAAATTTATACTAAACACTAGATCTAAGAAACAAAAAAAAAAATAACTCAACATAAAGGAAAAAATAAAATTTTCAAAAATTGGAAAATCAGTTTGTTCAAAAGATGATCAGAAATAAATTAATACACAGTTTATGTACCCAATAAGTAATTTATAGGAAACAGACCAGTTATTAAGAAGTACCAGTTTATTTCATTTTAAAATAAATAACTACAAAGATTTCATTCCAAACTATTCAGCTTTAAAATACATTTTATAAATCAGTTGTTAATATTTACTTAAAAAAAACTAATATAACATGACACAAAAATATAACTACAGTTTCAATTATTTTTTAAATGCTTATTAAATATAGTAATTTGTAAAATAAAAGCTTTATTCTTTCAAATCGGTGACTGAAATTTTTTATAAACGATTAAGATTGGTACAATGTGTAGTAATGAGATAAAAATGTAATTTATGTAAAAGATGAGTAAACAAGCAAGAGGTTGATAGCTGCACTTTTTGTTTTTATTATTTTAAAACACAATGAATTACCTCATTCTTGCACAAATGAAAAACAACAGATAACTCCCTATTGCACTGATTATTATGTTCATTATTTTTTACAAAATAAGAACCGAAAAAACACAAAAGTGGCCTTTATATAAGTAATCAATAAAATCATTATTATTTTATTATTATAATTAACATTAAAGTCTTAGAATGAGGTTTCAGAAACACATTTGTTATCAACTATTTTGTTGCATTTTTGAATTTCTTCTTTTTTCTAAGAATAATGCCTAAGATTAATGAATAAGAGAAATGAGACTTACTTAATTTAAAAGAAAATTTACTTTTGTCCTAAAGTTTATTTTCAAATAAATATTATTTCCTAATAATGAATAACTGATCTATATCAACACTTGTTAGTGGAAAGTATATATAAAATACAAGATTCAATGTAAAATTAAGAAAAAATTTCCAAGTTAAATGCTTTTAAAATAAAGAAATATGAATTAAAATTTTTGTTGCTCAGTTACAAAACCAATCATCTCCATAACATAAAATTTTTAAGCAGGAAAAACTGATTTTCTTTAACACTTAGCTATATTTGATAACTAATAGTTAACCAAACTCTTCAGTTTAAGAATAATTGAGACTGTGTTTTAAAACACAATAAAATTAGGCAGCAGGTTATTCAATGTTACATTTTGGATTTGGTTTATTGTAAATATTGGGATTTTTAAAATTTCAAATGGACAAAAATGCTTATTTTTTATCAAATTGTATTAAACAAAATTAAAATCATAGTTTAAGTAAACTATACTTGAAATTACTTAAATTATATGACTAGGACTTGTGACCAACGAAAAATTATTTTGGAAATTGCAGTACACTTTAAAACTGACTTTAAAATTCCAAACTTATGATATTGAACAGTGTCTCAGAAAAATAGAAAAATCAGGCTTGATTTTGGAATTGAGCTGAATTTTCAGGAATTTGGCAATTGATTTTGATGTTCGATATACCATAATAAGATATATTACTAAAACATCAACTGGTGATGAGTAAAGATAAGAAATGTTCAAAAAATGACGAACAATAACTATAGTAAATTCTGACTATGGTAAACAAATTACATAGTAAGGATTATAGCTTTTCCATGACATATGATCACTTTTATTTCTTTTATTATTTATTAAAAGCCTGCACTTATTTCTTCATAATAAAAAAAAATACATGGAACAGACTCACAGTCATGACACAATAACACTGAAGAACAGGTACTAATGATTGAAGAGACACAAATATGAAGATGGTCAGTTTTTCAACTCACAGCTAGCAAGAATTTACTGATTTTCCTAAGCACATAAGACTTGGTTTTGATAAAATTGCCTTGTTTCCTGTATTCAGTTAATAAATAACTGTATAAAAGATAATTTAAAACTTAAAAAATGAATTTCAAAATTAGAGGAGATGGCTAGTCTTGCAACTGAAGAAAATATTTATGAAAAAAAGGACTAAAGAAACAAATTATAAAAAAATGAACAAAAAATTTTCAATAAAGCCTCATAATGATGAAAAGCAACCAAAACTGCATTCATTTACCATCGACATCCCAGCTCATGTTATTATTAACAATACTCAATTAATAAAACATCCATAAAATAAATAATGGAAAAAGTAAACAAAGCAATGGCCTTTTACCTTAAAGTAAGGAAAACAGAAAAATGTTATTGTTATAATTGTTACTGATAAAAATTCTTAATATGTTAGAATTAGAATTCTTAATTATGAATAATAAATTTTTTTCCAAAGGTACTTATTTGTTTTCTGAAATTTAGAATCTGTAAAAAATTCAATTAATAAGACTAATATAAACATACTAACTTTTTTTAATATGCAAAAAATTCAATAAAAAGTGGACTATACTCAAAATAAAATTCAAATTAACTGCTTCAGTCATCAAGTTTACAAGTATTTGTTCTTATAATTTAGGATTTTTTTAATTTTCTAATGGCAAGATAAAAAGACAACTACAGCAATTAATACAAAGAACTATAAAGAGAGAAGCAGCTGTAGTCTCTGACAGTCATTTCCAAAAGGAGTTCTGCAGAAGGTTCTGTGAACAGAGTTAGAACTTTTTTTAAATGGTAATGAGTTTTGAAGCCTGCAAATATATTTATTATTAATTTTGTTTACTTTATGAAATTATTTAATTTAAATGTCCTTTTTTTACTCATAATGAGCAAGTTTGATTGTATTTAAGATTGCAAGAGTTTCTAAAAATTACGCTAATTAATCATTTCTTAAATAATATATTTTATATACACATATGTTCTATTTACCAGGGTAGGTAAAACAATATCAGATTTAATTTTTCAAATTAAGATTTTTATGTTAAAATAAAACTATTACTATTAATAAGAAAAAAATTTCTTAACCCTATGAGTTTTTTTTTTTTTTTTCTAATATTACCTAGGAAGAAACCCACGTTTAACTTGTGTCATTAAATGAAAGGGGGAAATTACAACATTTCCCAGATACTTAAAAGTATTACGTTAAGCATAATGTATTCGAATGAAATAAAGTTTTTGTGTGACATATCAAACAAAAGTTCTTGAATTAGAATTATGACTAACCAGCATGTAGACAGGTTAAACACTCGATAGAAATGAGTTAAAAATAAGTTAATGGTAAAAACACTAAATGCTGTAAGTATGCTAAAAACAATGAACAGCTTGAAAAGAAGTCACAAAAAATATATTAGACTCTTCTTAAACAATACAAGCCACAAATCAATGAAAAACGGTAGTTGAACTAGTAAAAAAATAAATAAAAGTCATTTACATTACACATCAATAAAATTCCTCAGTAAAAAAAATATTATTGATATGATTAAGAGGAAATGCTTGAAAGTACAATTGACATAAAAATGTTGATGAAGTTCAAATGGGCAACATTAAATATTTTGTAAAAAAATATTATCCCCTAGTTCATATGAGATTATAGGTATTAAGTCCCAAGGATGAGTCTGAGATATTTTTTCTAACTGCCATGATATAAAAATAAAATAACATTCAAAAACAAGATAAACAAAAATGTTACAAATTCTGAGACCCAATGTAAATAAACAAAATCATATAAATCATTTCAACACAAATCAGAGATGGCAAGCTTCTTCCACAGTGGAAGAAATAGGATTCTTCCAATCCAAATAGATGAAATTCTTAAAAAAAGTCACACTTAATATTTTTTTAAATAAAAGAAAACTATAATTTAGCAATTGCAAAAAAAAAGCTAATTACTTTTTTAAAGAAATTAGAAGAAAGGCCTTGTAATAGCATAAAAAAGTAAAGAATATAGTTAATTAAAGGAGTACAGTAGCCTTAAAGAGAATAGTTAAGTAGAGCAGTATAATAATCTTAAATATAGTAGCCTAAAGGAGTACTATTTTTAGTTACGTAAAGGAGGACAATAGCATTCAATTAAAACTGTTTAAAATATCATAATCAAATTTTATAAATACCAAAAAATCAAATCACATAATCAAAACTAACACTTCACTTACAAAAACAAATAGCATACTAATTGCTACAATCAATTGCTGTTAAATATGAATATTATTTAGTCAAGATTGTATAAAATACAATTTGAGAATTACAATTTTATTTTAAAATTCAATGCCTGTTTTTGTTCATTGATGCTTTTTTTGCTTCTCAACAACAGAAAAAAAAGAACTCGTCATTAGATTGCAACTTTGAAATTTTCTTTTTTTTACATTTTTAAAGTTTTACAGTCTTTTGCTCAGGATTTACTCATAACATTAGAAACAATTTTGTTATTTTATTTTAAAATAATATTTCATTTTTCAAAGCACTAATTTCATTATGCTAGTTATAAAAAAATGAACATCTAAATTGACTAAAAGTACAAAAATAATAATAATGACATTAACTATTAATTATTAGTTTTAATAATAATGAAATATTAATTTCATAAAAAAAAAATTTCAACAAAGAAATTTTTTTTCTAACATTTGAAATAGTTATCAGAATTAAATCTGTAAACACAAAAAATTTAATTCATTATTCATTTAGATATAAGCGTACAGATTTATCTAAGAAAATAAAGATTACAAAATTCTTATAATGAATAAATAATTGTATAGGAAAATTGTCATTTTTTAAAAAAAAAAGAAATATATGTGAGAAACTTTTAAATATCTTGAATTGTATCAAATTGTTTAATCTTTAAAAGATATAATACTTAATGCTACACTGTATAGATAAATTTTAATTTCTTTCATTTATGTAATGCAATGAAAGATAATTTGATATTCTAATTTGAAACATCTTTCATATGTTCATTAAGTCAGGTACGTTTAGTCTGTCCAACATACATAAGATCACATTGACAAGAAATTTACTAAATACCTCAGCTATTATTGCATATCCCCCAATATATACGGAATTTTGGTAGTTTTAGAAAATAATACTCCAAGTGGTAATAATGAAAATGTATTAACGTTTTAATAAACTAGAGTTAAGAAATTTTTGTCCACCACTCTAATAAACAATTTTAATATATGTAATCAAAAGGTCAGATTCAGAATATAGTCAAGTTCTAAATTTCTGATAAAAATTATAAAAGTTCAATTTGTTTTAAAAATTTCCACTTTGGTTTACTGCCACTGGAAGTCTCAATTATTGGAGGGCATGTTATTGTTAGATATAAGGTCTTTAAAGTTGGTGAAATTCAATTCATTTAAAAGGAAAAGGACTTTAACCTAAAATTTATTCAAAATTTTATCTCTTATCTGTTTTTCAAAAATTAACGTGAAACAATCACATTATTAAAGGTCAAAGTAGAGAAATTGTTGGATTGTGTGATTAATTCTCTATAGATGGAATCAATAATATTGAAAGGAAATCCATAGTCAACAGCTTAAAAGCAAGAGAGCTTTTTATTCAGATAAATATTAGATTAAAAATTAGCAGCTATCTTTCATTTAAAGAGATGGGATGACAAGTTATGAGGGTGGATTGAAACTGCAAATGGTTTCTGATGAGCAGTAGATTCATATTTTTGTTAAATTGAGGCAAACTAAATTCTCAGAAACAAACAATTTTTTTAGACAATAGCAAAGCATATTTTTTAAAGGATAGTAAATATTTCTCCAACATTACACTTTGTAAAGACAGAATACTTTTTTATGAAAGTTTAATTTTCCTAATATAGTAAATTTTATAACAAAAATTTTATCTTTACTTATCTAGTGTACATAAGAAATATTTTACATAAAAACCAGAAAAACTAAAAATTCACAGCAAAGGTTTTCATGAAAAACAAAAATAAGTAAACTAAATTTGTTTCAGATCAGGATGTTATGCTGATTGTCAGCATTGTGAGCCATTAGATTTAGCATTTTATTCTATTAACTTAAATTATTTTATTATTTTATTTTAAAAAATGTGTAAAAGATTATTTTAAACACAGTAAATTAATTTTTAATAAATATTACCAGTCTAGTATATAGTATCATTTAACTGCAAATAAAAAATTATTATAAGAAAAAGATATGAAAATATTACAGGATAAGCATATTAGCAGACACAATAATTTTTTCTAGAAATCTAACTCAAACCAGACACCTAGAAAAACAATAAAAGATAAAATTGCGGATCAGGTAGTGGTGTCAGATCCTCACCAGTTTTGCAAAAAAAAACGCTTCTCAATAATAAAAAACAAGTTTTTTACTTACTTGTTTAAAGATATTTTTTCAGCAAATGTAGTGCTGAAAATACTTTCCGGATTTTAAAGAAATTTCTATTTATTTTCCTAGTCAGAAAATAAGATTTTTTTGGCAACAGTTTATTAAATATCAGATCAGACTCATTCCCAGGAAATTTATGACACTAAAAAGTACATTAGCTAAAAGTAAATTTTAGAAGCAAAATTGACAGGATTATCTTAAAAGAACTTATAACTAATGAAGCACAAGATGCAGGTGTAGGAGCTTCAGGCATCTTAGTAGTTTTTGAAGTAGAAAAAGTTTTTGGCACACTAAAAAAGAGATCTTCAAAATCTTTGGATACAGCTACAGTTCCATAACCACTTCCACTACCACTTCCAGATGAAAAATCTGTTTTAATGAAAACAAAAGATTAGAAAACAAAATACTTAAAAATGATTTTTTTTGTTCCATTTTCTTTTAAACTAAAATACAGATCAATAATTTCTTTCTAGTTGTGATTAATTTTATTTTAGTGTGAATCTATGTTGTAAATAACCCTTCCATGCACAGGACTGAACAAAGATGAAGACACACACTCCAGAAAAAATAACACTATGAGTTACAATAGAAAAATATTTTTTGTATAATATTTATCAGAATTGGGAAGGTTTAGGACAGGATGGTTTAATCCACGGTTTAAACCGTCCTGTTCAAAACTGTCTTAAACTGTAAAACCCTTTTACTCAAAATTATGTTACAATTTAAAAAAATTCTTGTGGAAAATAAAAGGTTAATTTCTGAACAAGAAACAAAATGAAGACAAGTTTTTGTTTTATTAAAAAAGTTTACAGGATTCCCACGCCAAGAAAAACTTGCAATTGATACCGCACTTCCAAAGAATGGGAATTTATTCAAAAGAAAAAGATTTTATTTTTATTAGTCGATGTCAAATAAATATATTTTTCTCTTTTCTTTTTCTGTTCACTGATATGCATGCAATGCATTTTCCCCACCCCCCTCGTAAATCAAGCAGAAAACGAAATCAGCATGCCACACCCTTGAGTTTGATTGACGGCCTAAAGGAAAAAATAAAACATTCCTCCCTTCCCTGCCTTCAAGGTCACGGAGGAAATGACGTTTCTCTGGGTAAACGGGGAAAAAAAATTTCCCCTTCCTTACATTTTCCTCTACTCAACTTCAAGGATGAGTCCAATTTCCGCTTTTTTCGTGATAGTTTAAAATCGTTCTAGTTTAAAATGGCGGGGAAAATCGAGCAAAATTTTTCACGGTTATCTGGATACCGGATAAATGGTTCTCTACTATATTAAAAGCATTTTAATTCATATTGAAAAGATAAGGCATTCACTTTAATCATTCAATGAATTGTGCATCTTCAAAAGCTATTAAACTTTTCTTGTTATATTATTTTCCTTTAAAAAGTAAAAAGTATAAAAATGTTTATTTAATATCCGTAATTATTATGTGTACAATGGTTACACATACAGAATTTTTACCTTTTACCAATGTTCAAGGTTTTGGACACTTTAAGACCATTTAAAACAGTTTTAGTCACTTTAGGACAGCTTATGACAGTAAAACCCACATGTTCTGTCCAAAACCAGTTGAGGACGTATAAAACCCCAATCCTGATATTTACTCATTTTTAATATAATTTACTATGTCTCTAGAATTCTTATTTTAACACTGATATAGAAAAGTTACGCTATTCATTCACTTCAAATAGAGAACCTTTTGCTGATAAAGGTGACACACATTTTAAATATGTATGGAGACTGACAGGGTAAAAGAACTTTCAAATGAATGTATAACATGCTGTTTGTGAGTGAAAACTCATCTGATAAGAATACACTGAACCTCAATGGTAAAACTAAACCATTAATTTTAAAATCTTACATTAAACAAAATATAAATTATCAACATACTTAACATTTTATACTGGAAATTAGAATGAACAGTAAACACTGAAGCTCCCATTAGAGCATTAAATATCTCAAAAGCAAAAATAGACAGTAATTTTAGGGAAAGCTACACATAACGAATCTGAAAGCATATTGACTCACTGTTTAAAATAAAATTTAAAAAAAACAAATTGGTCGAACGAGAACTCTACTTGGAAGAATTTTTCCATTGATATTAAATGGTGATAACCAGCCAAGTAGATTAAACAGTTTAGATAACTCAGATATCAGCTGCAATTTTGTTACTGACGTTTCTTGTATTTAACCACCTTGAATGCCATCAGGGGTGATTGTGAGCCCAAGTCAAAATTCCGGAAAGTTTCTTGAGTTACAAAAAAACAAAAAACAAAAAAAAAAACAGTTTAAATTGAAAAATTAGAAAAAAAATTTAAACAAGGTTTTTTTCCTTTTTCTCAATATTTCTTAGTTTACTTAAAATATATTTAAAATTTTACACATACCTATGATGACCTGGAGAAGTAATTAAAATTTACAAATATGTCTTTCTTTCTTGAGTTTATGATTATAACAACTATTTACTGATAAAAAATGAATATTAATCATGAATATAAGCTTATAAAGTATCTCTCTGGCTCTCCCTTACAAACACATAAAATAAACTGTGTTTTTAAGTTCGACCTTTGAAAATTTGTTTTCCGGTAATTTCCGTGATCAATAATTTTTTGAAACGGCTGGACCTTCGATCTCCGGAAACTTCCGGATCACTGTTAGCGAAAAATCCGGAAATCCGGATTTTTTCCGGAGCACAATCAGCCCTGTGCCATTGCAGGCCAGGAGTTTTGATTGAGTTGTCGACTTCTATAGGCTCAGACTGATTTATTTCTCTAAATTAAGGCTAACTACCAGAATGGTCTCCCATTTCTTTGATTCCAGATAACTTCTATTTAAAGAGCTATGGTGGCTCAGAAGATAGAGCCTCTGCTTCTTAATAAGGTGACCCAGGTTCGAATTAAAGTGGTGGCTGGTTGATATGAATTCTGCTCCCCACTTGCACCTAAAACAGTATTAAAATAAAATACCCTCAGTGGTATAGATAGATTATGGGTTAGAATCCTCTTCCTGTTAGGCTAACTGTGGAAGTTTTTTGTGGTTTTCTTCTCCACGCAAAGCAAACGCAAGTTAGTTTTATCAAAAATCCTCCATGAAGGCTAGTTTGTCCCATTTCTTGATCTGGGAGTTTCTTGGTCTTCTGGGTTGGGTTCAAATTTACAAGGCTATGGAGTTAAACACTAAATCATAAACTCAGAATCGGGTCGGCTGCTTAATGCTGGTCATAAAATAAAATAATACCTCTATTCAAAAGAACAATGATCTTGCATTGAAGTTATAATACTTCAGTTTCATTGTTTACTCCACTCATCAGATCATCTGCAAAGAAATGTTACTGAACAATCAGAGAACCTTTAGTAAGTCCCCTGCTTCATCAATGGCAAGTTACTTCAGACATTTGGTGGTTTGATATGGTGCTAATGCTGTATTTTTTTCTTATGGTTCTTAGCTGCCAATCTTGAATTCGATCTAATGAATCTCTGATAATCTGTATGCTCAGAATCAACTTTGAATTGTCAATAGATTTTCTCAATGTCAGCTACTAGTGTAACTTAAAGAGTGTGAAACCTGGCAAGTATGAAAGCAAAAGGATCTTGTGCATAACATCAGTTTGTCATTGAGTGACTTCATTTGAAGACTTTGTTGATGCATCAAACAATACTCAAAATTTCATAATAGAATCTTGTATCTTTGTTATCACATGATGGGGCATGTAGAATGCATTTTTCAGACTTCAACAAATCTTCTTGAGACACCTGTTTCATGTGTCAATCCTTCATAAAAGATTACAAGAATAGCTAAGTCCTGAGAAACTCCCAGTCCTTGAATGGTAATCTTACAATGAATCTTCCTTTACTATATCTTGTCATGATAACTTAAAAAAGTTGTTTGTAGTATTTTCAGATTCACTTGTGTTTTGGTGTGAAATTTTGTCCAATTCCTGAAGGGTTTGCAAAAGTTTATCAATGTTACAACAGCAATATGTAGATTTGTGACAGCTCTTGCTGATGACAAATTAATTTTTCCAGAAATTACTCATCTGAAAACTGTTTAATGCAGCTATATTAAACTTCTCTAGCTCATGCATTCCTCCTTGAATTAGATTTGAAAATGTGTCTGCTCCCAAAAGCACACATATTTTATTTGGATGGCCAAAATACAGAAGTCTTTTGAAGTAGTCTAAGTTCTCCAAGTTCACTTAATTCTGAGGTAAGATGGATGCTACTTTAGAAAGCATTAAAGCTAAGATGTGTAAATTGAATCCTGGATCAAGCTCTGAACCAATAATAGCATTTACAAAGCATCTAATTTAATCATGGGTTTTGAAGATAGGCCAGATAAAGTAATATTCCCTTTTCTCTTAACCCCAAACAATCTTCTTTTTTAGAGTCAATAAGTTCTCCACAAATAACACTGAATCCAGATGAATCATACATTTGAACTATAGCAGTCAAAAGAATACTTCTATCTAGTTTTGGGCTGACAGAATAATGAACTGATGATTTATATTCTCTATCAATAATTGCCATCAAATTAGCAATTTTTTTTTTATGTAACAAAGAATAATTTTTCTTTTAGCAATAATTGCAAAGTTTACTTCTGCAACTAACAGCTGAAAGTCCCATATTCAAGCAATTAAAAGTTTTCCATTTGAAATTAAAGTTTTTCTTTCTAGAATAGTTCTCAAAAAAATTTTCACTGAACTTTTGGCCCTTTTAAACTTTAACTTAGGTTTTGGTAAAAGCACATTTCTCATTTCAAATCTATGTCCCCTTATCTAAAAATAAAAACTCAGCAAAAGTTGGCATTTTATTTTTCATTTCAGATAATTCTCGCAATGAATTATTGTCCAGTTTCTTTTGCAAACAAAAGACTAAAATAGAATTCCATGAATCAACTAGTTGTTTTAGAATTTTTAAATTATTTAAACATTCGATTGACATGTCGGCAAGTCTCTCCATTTTTAGCTGACTCGAGTTGCAAACTAGGCTGCATGAATAATTTATCTAAATGGCAATAAACAAGGTCTACTTTATTATGATATCTATTTGTATCATAATAAAGTAGACCTTGGGCAGCACTTGCAAAGCTACTTTGTAAATGCTGTCTAAGACCTTTCAAAGTTAGCAACAGAAATTTGAATCTAATTTATTACCAAAAATGCGTCACCTTTTACTGATAATTTCAGATATTGCAACTTTTGATAATTTGGCACTAACTTATTGTTACACACAGTGGCTGTAAATAAATCAGGAAATGATATCCAAGTAAAAAGCTCACCTGAAAAAGTTCTCAATTCCAGTTTTGGAAGATATGTATAAGCCTTTTTGAGTATCTGTTGCAAGTGAAGTCAAAGTTTGATTCAACTGTGGTCTTGTCAATTCATTGTTTTGAACTTTCAAAAATTATTCAAAACTATCTAATTTATTTAATAACTTGAAAAGCCATGTTTCGTAAAAGTATAATTTTTTTTTTATCACAACTTATTTCAATATCTTGAAAGAAATTCCAAAATTCTAAATTAAGTTCACTTAATTGAAAAGAGATATAATGTTCAACATTAAATTGGATCTTCTAATAAAGCTTTGATAGAATTAGCCATTAGCCATAAGCTGCCATTGTAAGCTTTTTTTTTGACAACTCGTTTCAACTTAAGTAAATCATTCATGCTTTGTTTATCGAAACCCAATGCAAAATCATGACCGCCCTCTTAAAAATTTAGAATCAAAGTGGACTCGACGAACCATGTTCATGGGTGAAAACTCATGTCATTGAACTTCAATAGTAAAAAAAAAATACTAAACCATTTATTCTTAAACAAAATATACATTTTATTTTAAATTTAATGATTGGAATTACGGTGCATGTTTGAGCCATAAAAATCCCAAAAGTAAGCTCACATTACCAATCTAAAAGGGGTGAATAATCTCTAAAACTTAATATTTCTGACAAACACAAAATATTTTCATCAAGCAATATTGATTTAAATTCATTAAAGGTAAAAATAAGAAAGAAATGAATCATTTTAAAGATGTTTAGCATGCTCAAGAAATTTTGTTAAGAGCGAAATTTAGAAAACTAATGAGATTATGTATTTTAATTTCGTATCGTAAAAAAAAATTAACACCTGCTATGAACAGGAAGATTTATCAAAGACAAATCAAATGTCCTTTAAAATACAGCAAGCTTCTAACAATAGTAAGAAAATATAAAAATTTGTGTATTAGTCTTAAGCTTTAACTCTATAGAGAACCTAAAAGCTGAAGATGTAGTCGTAAAAGTGTACAGCTTTTTGGAAAAAATATTTCTTTGGAAAAGTGTTGAGTGTAAAATACAATGGGGCTGTAATTATGAAAAGTCCTTATATTGCCTTTTAGCAAGAGTTTATAAAAATGTGATAAGAATAATGCTAGCTTTGGCAAATTAAGATTCAGAAACAAAACAGATGTAGCTTATTTTATAAAGTCCACTTATTAAACAAAAGAAAAAGTATTCATATATTACGTAGTTGGTATGAAGGTGAATATATTGTATGTCTCCCATGCGTGACTATACAACGCCTGGACATGCTGAGCATCAAATTATCGAGCTAATCTTGAGGAAAATTTGGTTAAGATATGGTTAAATACGTAAAAATTAAAATTAACATTAAGGACTCAAAACATTGGATTGCTCTCCTGGCCAAACTATGGGAACCATTTTTTCCAGATTGCAGCTGCTCCCAATATTTGGGAGTCAAAAATCTAAATCCATCATAAAAAAGTAAGTTTATTCCGAGGAAATACATTTTTTTCTGATTTTGCAATTTAAAATATGGTCTGCACTAGTTAATTAGCATATTTAAGATCACATCCTTGAACCATTAAGACTGAGACCTAGAACGGGAAGATTAGATCAAAAATTATTCAGGGTGGTGAGTTTTTTTTATTTTTGCGCACTGCACCTCACTAAACAATCTAAATCTTAGTGCTATTGTATAAAATTCTAATTAAAATATTATAAATTTATAACACAAACTTTTTTGTACAAAGTTCTTATAAACTTTACATAAACAAACATTGTTTTATGTATGCATTGTTTTATGTAGTGTTAGATTAAGCCTAATTATTACAATATTAGTCTTTTGGTCATTGTGTTACGATTGCAGGCGAATTTGAATTTATAAAGATTGTGCAGCAGATTGACTGAATAAATTCTGCTACCAAGGTTCAGGTATAAGTATTTAAGCACTCTAGAGTAAGACCCTCTTTTCACAACTTATGTCAGGGATGAGAGTAGTCAGAAAGTAAAAAAGAGGAATTTGCAAAAATTTGACAAAAAAATAGCGATTTTTAAACTTGAAAGCCATGTGATTATAAATCCCGATATGAGGCTTTTAAATCACGTGAATATGAAACTCTACATTGAAATGCGAAAATCTTGATGCGTGATTTTTAGATCACGTAAATACAAATCACGACGCATAATTTTTAAATTGCGATTTTTAAACTTGAAAGCCATGTGATTATAAATCCCGATATGAGGCTTTTAAATCACGNGGGATGAGAGTAGTCAGAAAGTAAAAAAGAGGAATTTGCAAAAATTTGACAAAAAAATTGCGATTTTTAAACTTGAAAGCCATGTGATTATAAATCCCGATATGAGGCTTTTAAATCACGTGAATATGAAACTCTACATTGAATTTAAAAAATGCGAAAATACACATCTTGATGCGTGATTTTTAGATCACGTAAATACAAATCACGACGCATAATTTTTAAATTGCGCGATATTACAACCGCAAAAACAAATCATGATATTGGATTTTAAGCTCGCGTGAATACGAATTGCTACATAGGGTCTTAAAAGCGCATAAATACAAATCACGATATTGGATTTTTAAATCTCGTAAATAAGAATGCCAATGTATGATATTTAAATCGCCTGAATAAGAATCGCAACGTTCACCTTTTTAATCAGGTAAATACGAAAATTGATGTTTGATAATAAAATCACGATTCTAAAAATGCATGAATTCAAAACACGATATTGGATTTTAAAATCTCGTAAATAAGAATCATAATATACGATATTTAAATAGAGTAAATAAGAATCTCCAAGTGCAACTTTTAAATCAGGTAAATACGAAAATCGATGATTGATATTAAAATCGCGTGAATACTAATCGAGATATTTGCAGAGTCTGGACAAGGGACTTCTAAAAGGCTTGTTTGTATTGTTTTTGTTTAGTCATAATAAATAAAAATTTACAAGATTAATTGAATGAGCAAATAAACATTTTCACCGCAAATCCACCTCTATTTTTTATTTTGTCGTTTGCTTTCATGCCAGAATACAGGAATCAGCGACGTTAGAATTACGAAAATACGAGCTATCCGACGGACAGATAAAAAATACAGAAAATCTTATTTTCTGTGCGTGAAATCGGAGAAAATAGCTAATATAAGTAAAAATGTGGAAGGGATAACAACTAGGACGTAGTTTTAATTTTCCGTTTATCTTTGAAAATCGTAAATAAATATAATTATTTTATTTCAACCACTGAATTTAAAAGAAAAAAGCGGGATATTTATAAATAAAAAAGAAACCAAAACTTTTAGAGAATCGGAGTTTTTGATAAAAAAAGGCTGAAATTCGTGAGACAAAAGTGAAAAAATCTCATCCCTGTATAAAGGTTAACCAGTTTTATCCCAAAGAAATTATTTTCAGAGAAACTTCAGAGGGTGGAATAATTTCGGTCCGCGGAAAATTAAATTCCTCATAAAATATTTTAATTTGAGCAAAAAAAATATTTCCGCGGAAATTAGCGGGAAAATGGAAAAATCTGAACAAAAAGTAGAAATCAGCGAATCCGCGGAAGAATCACATCCCTGTTATGTAGAGCTAAAGGGAAATATTACTCAAGGTGAAACAAAATTTAAACTAATTGATGTTTTCATAATCTGAAAACATCAGACAAAATAATACAAGTGTAACATATTTATTTTAATATTAGAAGTAGAAGTATCATATTAATTTAATACTATTCAATTTTAAGTTCAGAATCTAAACAGAATAAAATTAAAGGATTATTTAGCGAAAAAAAATAGTTTTTACAACAAAATTTCCTGATTGTAAAACTTAATATGTTTGTAGAGGACTTCAGATTTTGCTATTTTCTTCATTCTTAATCTGGATTGTATTTTAAATATAAGGTTCTACACTTTAGTTAAAGAGCATTTTCTGTCCATTGGTAATTTAACTTATTTCATTTTGAAAAAAGGGATTATACATTAGGAGTAGACTAACTAGAGTTTTTAGTGTATGATTATTGAGGGTAAAACTAAAAAAGAAAGAAATTATGCATGTAAAAAGAATTTAGTTTCTTTCCTTCACAAAAATGCTCTAATATACATCATGAATATATTTATTTTTAGTTCACAAATATCTTTTACAATTAGTTTTTTTTTTAGTTTTATGTTTTTCAAAAGATATGACTAATAATGAAATTAAGCACTATATGCATTTCAATAAAATATTGTTAGATAAACAAATCATAAAAATTTTTAAAAAATTATTAGGTATAAAAAACGACAACCTTGGATGCCATTATATTTCAAAATTATTTGCATAAAATGAAATAATATTGCAGTTTCAGCAAAGCAATAATTTTATTATCAAGTAATTTTTATATTATTTTAGAGAGAACTTGAATAAAGAGTTATGTGAAGAGAAATTATAAGTGTTTAGGAAATTGAAGATAACAAGCAATAATTTTTAAAGATACCTGAATTTTCCCATTCAACATCTAATCCTTTGTAAGCATGACTCAATTTAGTGCTTATTAAATTAAGTGTTAATATTTGTTGATTTATAACAGCATTCCCATTCGGAAGAACAAAATCTTTTATCACACTATTACTAGTCGCATTGATATTTCTGGAAGAAAAAAAAAGGAAAACATGATCAACAGTTATTGAAGACAAAAATATAGAATACATTTCTTGTTAAAAACTTATGAAATGACAAACATACTATAATGTTTTTTTGATGAAAAATCAACATATGGGTGCCCAACAGTATTAAAAAGATGTTTTTGCGTTCTAAATAAATCTTATCATTGATAAAATTTCAGTAATGAAGAGGCCGCTACATCAATTCTCCTTTTACTCCCAAAACAAATTGAAATCCATTTGGTACATTAATAAAAAATGGATTAACTGAATTTGAACTCAATTTGATTGAAAAGTTTTATTATTAGCAATTAAGACCGATTGGAATAAACATCAGCACTTTTTAAGGCCTATATATAAATTTTTAGTGATACTATGCCGAGCACTGTTTAAATTTAATCAGCACTTTTATATCTGAAGTCTAAATGTAGAGATATATATTTTAACAAAATATCACATTTCAACTATAGCCTTTACCAGATATAAGTTCCTCATATAAAGAAGGGTGGATTCTGATTAAACATCAATTCTATCCCAATGACAACAAAAATCATTGAAATAAAAAGGTAAATACTCTTCTTATTAGTTAGTCAGTGTTAAAGGAGGGCAGAATATGTTTGATGGCACAAACCAAGTACAGGGGAAAAAGGATGCTGTCCTGGGAAAATCTTTGATCCAATTAAAACAAAAATCAATCAATCAAATCAAGTAAATAAAATCTCAGAAATTTTAATAAATTTTATAACAGAGAAATTAGCACTGAAATGAGTAATCACTTTTTGGCATGCAAGATTTGCGTCGATTCAATAGCAACCTTTTATTTTTAAATTCTTTTTTTATATATAAATATTGCATTAAGTTTTTTCTCTTTTTTTAAAATTTCAATACTTTTTATGCATATTATTACAACACTTGAAAATTGAATCACAAATCTGATTATTCCGTTGCTTTCATGAATGAGCTTTATGTATTGAAAATCGATTTTCACATGGGTTTTAAAATGTCAATATATTTCAAACTATGTAATTACGACATGGAAAATTTGAATAGCACATTTGAGCAATCACTTTTAGTCGCAGTTACTGTATTTGAGGTGATTCCATAAAAAAATCAAAATAGCAGCAATCGCAAACTAACAATAGGCTCACTAAAATTAATTGAAAAACATTGTTAAACCCAGACAGACAAAAAAAAGTGACAAAATAATGCTTAAACATCGGAAAATAATGTAAGTTCTGCTAAAAATAATCTTTAAGAAACGTAAAATCCTGGGGGGGAAAGGTTGCATAAAGAAAGTATGCATTACATTCTAGATTTCAACGCTGATCGTCGCCAGGATTGATCAGGACACCTGACTGAACAGTTTCTGAATACGGACCTAATTTACTTTTTTCAAAACATAAATAACTACATAAACTACAATCAATCTTTATCAAAAGCAAAGTTATCGCGATGTGTGGTATATGATTGCTGAATATTAATTTGTTCTGAAGTGTCTCTTGGAACTTTAAAATTTTCAATTGTGCTCAGCATAGATTCAAGGCCTACCACACGAAAAAAGTCAGCAATTAGATTTCCAAACACATCCTCAGTAACGTTTTGAAGAGTTTTCAAAGGGAGGAAAATCTCCAATCATTTCCTTCTCTTTCCCTTCTGCCATATGAACAGCTGTTGAGTGTAGGAAAGGAGCATGGAGTGGAGAAGCATAGGAATGAATGAAGGAATCAGAAAGGAATGAATGAAGAAAATCAGGATGGTGCCAGGATAACCTCAGCTGTAAAACAAGCATTTGCCCCTCCCCATTTTTTTCCAGGAAATATGTCTCTCCACTCCCCTTTTTCTTTAGCTGGATGTTAAAAACATGTGAATGTTTGATGAATAAAAGATGCTGATGAGCTTGGGATAACCTTGAATATTCTTACAATTAAAATGTTCAAAAAGAATTTCAAACTTTCAACTGAAGGTCAGTGAAGAGGAGGAAGAAGCAATGTGTGAGAATTTTACACAGGGATAAAAGAAAGACCGTTCTAGGCAGAGTCAGTAAAAAAAAATTTGAATAAACGGTTTTCTGAAACCTGATTTGAGAATCGAAAATAGGGGAAGAAAATGCACAATATAGAAGCTCATTTTAAATGCTTGGGAGAGCGCTTTTATTGGGGTATTTTCTTTTCATTGCTCATATTTCTGTCTTTGAGTTAGATTATCTTCCTCAGCTTATTATTATTTATTTTATCGTTAAATCTTCAATTCTGATCCTCTGTTGCGTTTTTGTTTTATAAATATTTTTGTTTTATTAATATTTTTGTTTCATTAATATTTTTGTTTTGTTTATACTATTTTTTTTAATTTCGTTTTGTTTTAGCATAACTTGTTTCAAAGTAATCTATTTTAAATGCCTCCCATTAAAAAGAAAAATTATACAGCTGTGTTTAAGCTGTCAGCAATTAAAAGAGAAAAAGAAACTGTAATAAATGGTTTCAAAAAAGAGGAAATCATCCCGGGACAAAACGAAACCCATACTGAAAGTGTGAGTGACGGAGCAAAACCTGAAATAAACAATGAACTAGTAAACCTATTTTGCTCTGCTACAGAGAGCTCTGATTTTGAGGGATTTTTAATGCAGTGATATAAATATATATAGTGATAGGCGATAGCTGAATAAACTATTCTTTAGTTTTTCTTTGAACAAAATTTGTTTGGATTTATCCTTTATTTCTAAAACAAGATTTTGAATTGCTGATTTAAAAATAGGATCATTTCATTTTTATTTTTAACAATTTTAATACTTATTTTAATGGTTTTTGATATATTATTTTTTCATATTTTAATGGTTACTTCAAATTAAAATAAGAAATTGCTTAATTTTACTTAGAAAGATATTGAAATCTATTTATATACTAGGATTGTTACTATTTTTTCCTTTTTTTTTGCATATTGAATATCCTTTTATTGGTTTTTATTTATATAACTATTTAAATTATATATATATATGCATATTTAGAGCATGTGTTAAGTCTCAAATCAAGTCCTGCATTAGTATAGTAAAATTCAGCACTGTGTGCACGATATTGCGGCATATCCTGAGGAAAGCTTTTTTCTTTCTGCCAATTTTTAGGTCACATCGTTTCTTCGCAAAATTACGGTATTAAACAAAATTGTTGATACTATGAAAAACAGTTAAATTTATTTTCAACTGTCATGTAGAAACTATATTAAAAGTAATTTATTTGACTAATCTTTTTCGAAATTCTTTTTATTTTATTTATATAAAAAAACTTATTGGTATATTCACTGCTTTTTCACAAAATATGCCCTCCAAGGAAGAAAGATTTCTTAAAAACTTTTGCTATTTGAAAGAAAAAATTTGTGTAAAATATAATTACTTTGTTTGACCGTTACCATTCCAGCAATTTTTAGAGCCCTGCTCCATTTGAGAATGGGAACATATTTTTATCGGCAGTTCTTGCCAGAACTTTTTTATTTTCTTAGTTTTCTTTTTTAAGTTGTCAACTAATCTTTCAATACTTGTTCCTGCTGCAGTAGTGGGTCTAGCTCCAAGGTTATGCAAAAACTTCAGCTTTTCTAAAGTAATTTCTTGTCCATTAACATCTCTTTTTCCAAGGCGAGGTTTGCCACATTTGTGGAATAACTAAAAAAAATAATGCTTACTATTTCATCATTCTGAACAAAGTAAAATTATATCAAGAAATGAAACAATTTTACTAAATCATAGGTATTAGTCAGAGCTTTCTCTATACAAAATGCTAATTAATAAATGCTACTTTTTGTGTTTTATAAAACTTACAAGTCTGCAAGGATTGGGATTTTTTGTCTTATAAAGAGAGCAATGACCAAAAAAAGCTTGAAAACTGAATTAATTAGAATTAGCCAAAATCTTTTAAAATAACTCAAGGAAATGTTCAGAAATATTTATTCAATTAAAAAATTTCTAATTTTCTTATTTATAAACAGCAACCCTAATTAGGATTACAATCACAACTTAATTTAAAAAATAATTTCAATTTCAATGTTGGTGCTCCATTTGTAGTTTAACCTGAAAGTAACATTTAGCTTAGGAATAAAATAAGTTTTAAAGACAATCACTAAAATTATCCAAAGTGATGCTTTTGTTGTGACCAATTGATTATTCACTTAGGAAAACAATTAATATAGGTTGCATTAGTAGGTAAAGATAAGTTTCTAAATACCTTTTTTGAAATCAAAACTCCATTCTCTTGAAAATTCATTACAGCTTCAGATATTTTAATGTCAATTGGTTCTAGTATAGATTCAATGTTATAAGAATTTTCAAGTCTAGATACAAGATTTATTAGAGAATCTAAAAAAAAAAATATATATATATTTTTAGGGGCTATTACAGATCACAATATCAAGGGGAAGGCCTATGGCTGGTTCCCAAAACAGAAAAATATTGATTACTATGTTTAAAAAAAAAAATCAGGGTAAATGATAGTTCAGGAATGAAATTGTTAAAAACATTTCTTAAACCTGCAAAAGATTATACCAATCAGTGCAAAAGGCAATAGATACAGTGTGCAAAATAAAAAATGGACCACCATGAAGAACTTTTGATCTAATCATTGACTCTTCACTTTCAACTTCAACTCAATCTTCTTTTCAAGGACTCAATTTTCGAACTCTTAATGGTTCTAGAAGGTGACCTCAAATATGCTATTTAATTAGTGCAGACAATATTTTAAGTTACGAAATCAGACACAAAAACATACTTCCTCTGAATAAATATACTTTTTTTTTACTGATTCATATTTCTGACCACCAAAATATAGGGGGTAGCCGCAATCTGGTCAGGAGAGTGGTTCAATGTTAGAATCCCTTAATGTTAATTTTACTTTTTGCCTTATCTTGAGAAATGTCAAAGGGAATTGAAAACTTTTTGCATACAGTTATGAAATGCATTTATGCAAAGATAATTCCATGCGAAAAATAGCTTTAAATAAATATTTATAATTTTTTATTTCATTTAATATTAATCGAAAAAAATTTTAATTGTTAGTTATACTCTTTTATCTTAAAGAACTCGAATTTTAGACATTTGGCTTTCTTGAAATTCAATTTCTCAAGAACTATTCAATCAATTTCGCACAACTTCTTATCTTACCATGTAAAATTATATTCTTTAAAATGATGTAAAAAATTGTATACCTTACAAATAAACATTTTTTTGACCATTATTAAATAAAATAATAAATATTTAATAAAAGTTGTTTCCGCTTGGAATTAACTTTGGATAAATGAATTTTATTATTGGGGGCAAAATTTTTCAATTCACTTAAAAAGTTTTCGAGATATAGCGAAATATGCGAAAAGTAAAATTAACATTAAGGGATCATTATGTAACTATTGGGACCATATTTCCCAGATTGCAATTACCCTCTATATTTTGGGGGACAGAAATCCGAATCCGTTGAAAAAATATATGTTTATTCAGAGAAAGTACGTTTTTGTGTCTGATTTCATAACTTATCGTTTGCACTTATTAATTAGCATATTTGAGGTCACCCCCTCAAATCATTAAGAATGAGTCTTTGAACATAAAAATCTGATCAATAGATCATTATTCAGGGTGGTCCGTTTCTTATTTTGTGTACTATACATGGAAATATTGAAGATAGTGGTAAGAAATCGGCATTACCTACTTTAGTGTTAAAACAAATGAAGAAGTAGAAAAAATATCTGAAGTAGAAGATAGAGATGACAAGTGATAAAGAAGCCGAAACAAGAAGTTACAAAAAGATTCTTGTAAAGCAAGAGACAAAAGGCAGAAAAATAATAAAATGGTAATAAAGAAGTTTATTTTTGTACTATATTTAGTGGTTAAAAAGCAGTGGCCAGAGCTAGATAAGGTTCAAAATATGATAAAATTTCCAGGTTGCCAACTTAACATATCTTGCAACATTAAAATTCTTTTTAAAATCTATGTAAAAAATCACACATATCTACCACATTTGTGCAAAATATCTTAGGATTGGATTGGATTGAATGTAGAAGTTTTATGGCACAAGATCCAAAGGAGGATATGCTGCGCCAAACACAAAATATCTTAGGATGCATTAGGGGCTTTATTAAAGAATCTGCGTAAACATTATTACAATCATGCAGTGTTTTTGTACTTTTAGCAGATGCAAAAAAGAATTGTAAAAATAATAAAAAGCACTGCTTGAACAATTATTTAAGATTAATGTCTGATTTAACAGATGTTGTTGAACACATATTTAATGTTATTAAATATTTGTTTACATGCAATTAGATAATTTTAAAAAAATTAATCAATATGCATAGTTTGATTTTTGATTTTAAGATTAACGTTGCATATCTTTTTTAATTGTATGCTATATCATTATATAATATATTAAATAGTATATAAAATATTATTATGTATAAAAGATCAATTAGCAGTAATCTATCAGGAAGTCAATTGTGTCACAATTTAAAAATATTAACAAAAAATTATAAAACGTTTCAATTTTTAAAAAAGTACAAATTGAAATAGTATTACTTGTATATTATATCACAACACAATAAGTATAATTATTGGAGCTTATAAAAGTGATAAACTGATAAAGAGTCTTAATGCTTTTTTGTTAAACATTATGAAGTGCTAAAATTTCCTTTCCATAAACTTCAAATTATTCCTTGTAAATCAATTTAAAATATCTAATTTGATTAGAATAAATAAATTATTATATAAAATTCAGGCTCAACAGCCGGAATCAAAACAGATGTTAAATTCATAAAATTGTTTTAAGTGCTTTTTTTTTTCCTTTTTATTAACCATTTAACGTGCTTCATCTTTAATGCTTTATTTTCAATCTAACAAACAATTCTTTGAAACAATATAAAAATTAACACTTAATCACTTTAAAATTAAGTGTTCAGAATAAGAATGAATTATTTCATTTATTTACTTTAGGATTTTTAAGACAGCATTATTTTATTTTATAACGGTGCGGAAGAGCAGAACCAATTAGGAGTTAACAACTGTCAATGTTTAACTCCATAGTCTCATAATTTTGAACCTAACCCAGAAGACAAGAGAACTTCTTAATCAAGCAGAGATGCAAATTTGTCCCCATGGAGGACTTTTTGGTGAATTTATCCCACATTTGCGTTACGTAAATCACGAAAACCTTCCATGGTTAGCTCAATGGAAAGGGGATTCTAACCCATGCTCCATCTACCACTTAAGATATTTTAGGTCAGCACTGTGATCAATCGAAACAAAGGCAAATTCTGTATTCGAACCTGTGTCCTTCATTGTGAGGTTAACCGTCTATCCCCTTAACCACCACAGCTTCCCATGAATTATTTGAAAACTTTTATTTGTTAAAAATGTAAACACTTTTCCCCTTGTTAAAGCATTTAATTGTAGAATTTACTTGCTAATTTCATTATAATAATATTTTTGTTTTTACCAAGTAGATATAGTTATCTGATAGGTGTTAAAACATTGGTTTTGAGCAATTATTTTATGCAGTTTATAATCACTTATGTTTTTAAACATCAATGCTGTCATAGGAATGTTGTCATAACAGGTATGAAAACAGGCTTTTTTGACCTATTTTAGAAAAAAATTTAATGTAGACATTTAAAGTAAATAAATTTTCACAAATAATTATGCTAAATATATACATAGATATAGAAAAATTGGAAATTTAAATTTTCATTTACCCCAAAAGTAATGTTGAATATTATTCAGAAAGCAAAACTTGTTACAAATGTAGTATCAAATTTATGTGATGGTGGTCCATCCTTTGAATTATTTAAAATACATTTTTCCTTTTAATTTTTCAAATTTTCATTTTCAGTTCCTTCTAGTTTCTTTCTTTTCTAGTATATAATTGCGCAAATTTGTAAACCATTACATTTCACTGAGAACATTGAAAGTGAAAACATTTTAATACTTCATTGTTCCACAAAACAGCTGAAAAATTTTTTGTGATATTTCTTTCTTTCATAAGTTCAAGGTTTCATCAGTTCAAGTGCCAAACAAAAAGGTTTTGCTTTTTATTTTTACACAACTCCAATTTACTATATTGCTACTATAATTAATACTAACATTTGACGCTTATTGTATTTAATTAAAAGAAATAAATAATTCAAATTTTTATGTAGGTTGATATTGGGAAGGTTTTAGAGGTAACAAATATTATTAAAACTGACATGCAACAAAAATATGCAAACCTTGATTCAGTATAATGTTTCAAAAAAAGAGCCTTTACCTATAAAAGAGATCCATTCATTACCAAAAGAGATGTGATTGTTCAGGCAATTATTTAAGACATTTAAACAATAAGGAGAACAAGGTTTAAGATCTGGTAAACCATGACAATGAGGACAATAAGCCATTTTCATTAATGAACGGCTACATTCAGGAGTAGGACCAACCTGAAAACATTTTGAAATTAGTATTTAAGTAATATTTTTCAATGATTGTATATAATAACTGCTCCCACTGAAAAAAAATTTATTATTTAAAGTAAATAAAGAACACAATATGATAAAAAAGTAATCAAAATAAAGTTATTATTCTTATGTCAGACAGGCCTAATTCCTTAAGAGTTGAGTGGAGAAAAATAACTTATGTGTTTATGTTCACAAAACATGATTTTGGATTTACATTGGGCCATTTGATGCCTATGTAAGACAAAATTATAGTCTTTCACTGTTAATGTGTTACATCTGAATTCAGAGTTGGCAAAATTTTCAAACAAAAATAATAATAACCCCCTGGTAAAAATCATGGTATTTATTGTTCTCTCCAAAATCCCTCTGTAAACTAACCAAAACACTTGTATCATGGATTGAATTCTTTAAAGGTTTAATTTAAACACAGCAAAAAGATATAAAATTTGGCAAAGCAAAATTAACAACTTTTTATAATCTTTGTGCAGGAAATAGCCTAAATCTGGATGCTAGTGCTTAACTTAAGCATTTAAAAAAACATAATAGGTTAAAAAAACTTATAAATAAACCCAAAATTTCACAGCGCTATGCAGCGGCACTTATGATTCTAGGCCTTAAATTTTGGTATGTGAGGCATACCTAATGGGGCAGCCTATTTGCTGATTTTTTTTCTTTTTACTTTTCTTCTAGAAGTTGAAGATTTTATTTTGTTGAATTAAACTTTAAAAATTTCCTTTTCATCCTTCCCTTTTTTTTCTTCTGAGGCAATCTATTTTTATATTTCAAAATAAATAATACCCTAAAGAATTAACAATACATGTTAACACTTACAGCTGAAGGTCAACTTAATTATTTTTACTTTCTAAAATATGCGATTTCAGAATTTGAAAATGTAGGAGAAAAATGATGCAACATAATTAGTATGTGTATAAATATAGAATCTATGAACAGGCTTAAGATTTCAGGGAGTTTGTTTTTTTCCATAATTTCTTTGACTACTGACTTGAGGAAAGATTTTTAATTATTTATTCTATAATCAAAATTTATTTTAGCAAGATCATTAATCAATTTATGGTTCAAATTAGCACAAAGCAAGATCATGATGAGGTGGGTGCTACCAATGACACTGGCAGACATTTAGTGGATGAGTTTGTGCTAAGTAGGGTATACTCATTCATAGATCCAAAATATGTATGAATTTGGATGAGTATTTCTAAAGAAATTTAAAAAAAACTACTAATGAGCCATCAAATTTATATACTGTCATCATAAGTAAAGCTCCATTGCACATCAAATGTTCTTCAAATTTAAGATATAGGACAGAATTTTATGCCAATAAAAATATTTAATGATGCCGATAAAATAATAATATTTATAAGTAAAATTAATTAATGATGAAATAATAAAAAATACTATATTTACAACAAATAGAGCAACTAAAAAAATACCTCCATAATATTTTTTACTACATCTTTACCAACTGAAAGAGCTTGTACAAAAGTTCGTGTTGCAGTGAAAGATCTTTTAATATCCAATGTTAGCTTGCCAGGTACATCTCCAAATGGTTTAAGTTCATTCATATTTTCAATGACACACTCCAGGTATTTGTTATCAAATCGATGTTGTGCGTTTAACACCTACAAAAATATTAATCACACAATTTCGTCAGCAAAATACTTTTTCATATTTACTGATTCTAAAGGCTTTAAAACAAATAAAAATATGTAGGCAAACTCATGCCTAGTATACTGCAAGGTTTCATGTGAACCATTAATGTGAGACCTTTTTTCTTCGAAAGTTTTATATGCACAATTATCTGTACAATCAGGTTACAGTTGTGCCACAGAGAAATTAATGATTTTAACCATACAAAAAGAAATTAGGAATATCAGGACAACTATGAACCCGACATAAACCAGTTCAGATGAAACTATGAAATCGACAAAAATTAAACTTGATATTTAAAATTTGAGAAAGATAAAGTAATTAAGTTCATTAAAAGTAATTTAGTTGATTTTTTGATTAAAGCTTTAACTAAGATAAAAGACTAAATATATTTTGTAATTGCCAGTTTACAAGTTTGAAGGAATGAGGTTTCTTCAGTAAGAAAAATAGTCTCCCTCTTCTAGTGGTTTTTCGAATTTATGATTTCTGACTCTCCGTTCCTCTTCCTCAAACCTCCTTACTTCAAACTGGCAATCTGGCATGCGGCCTTATCGAATATTGCTACTGTAATTGTTTAATGCTTAGTGGAAAATATCAAGCAAGCGCAATTCAAGTCTCATTAGCTTACAAAAAATGTTTATTAAGCTAGAAAATATTTTTTAAAAAAATAGCACAATAATAGAAAAACAAATAAAATACTGAAACATATAACTTCTAGAAAATATAATTGTCAAGAGGATTCTATTTACTTTCTACGTAATACAGCTATACTAACTCCTACAAGCCTAATCTTGGTTTATCTTACATATATATACAGTGGAGCATCGTTTATACGACGCCGAAGGGACCACCGAAAAACGTCGTATAAACGATAACGTCGTATAATCGATTTTTACTTCTAAAACTGAAACTAACTCTGTTTTCAGTTAATTTTAATGTTTAACGTGTTGATTTACATAAATTTCTAAATTAGACAAAGCAAAACAAACAAATAACCAAAGAAGAAAAATTGCAGTGAGCAATTTGAATGTATGTTACCTT